GATTGGTCGTTAGAGTTTTTCAACGACTATAACTAGCCTATTAATAAGTTAAGTGAGCATTTCTTGCATCAATGATCGGATAAATGGACTGTGCCTGAGTAGTTGTAACCTTGGCTAGAATTTATTTCTTCTTGATTTAATACCTGCTATATTTGTGCTAGTTGATTATTCATTTTTAGTTAAATTGTTTAATTGTTTTTAGTTTCATTCCGGTGAAATCCCCCATACCAATTGGAATTCAAGAGAGACAAATATCCCCAGTCCCTGAGGAGACGACCCTACTTGCCACTGTCTACTTTTCAGTAATTTGTGTCACCTAATTAATTCGGGTATATCGGATTAAGCAAACTCTTCGGGAATAGGGTGAATCAAGTAACCCATTGCACACCTAGAGTCCCTGCTCCAGTACCTAGGATTTATTACTGACTGCTTTTAGTGATATTTAGGATTCTATTATTATTATTGCACAGGCTGATGACCTGTCAAAGAAGAATGGTCGCTCAAGAACCGATAACGCTTATTGGAGGACTCCATGATCATGATCTCTCCATTGTGCAGTTTCACTGATTCACTATCTCCTAGTCATGTACCTTTAGCCCCATAAACAGAATAGTTTTTGGCAACGAAGGAAGCGATTATACAAGAAAATGTTACCAAATGCCTGTTTGATGAACTGATCATTCTTGCTATCCCAATACTCCCATTTTTATATATGTTCAGATAAACAACTAGGAGCTGAAGTCTAGCTTTTCGATTAAGAATCAAAGAACATGAAACTAGAGCATTTCAAGCAATTTAATACTATCATATTATATATATTTCTATTAATACCGTCTATCATTTCAGAGTTTGTTGACCTGACAGTCGAGTCCAAGCCGTAAGATAGAAGTTCACTAGAAGAAAAAGCTTTTGATTATCGATATATAATGGAGAAATCAGACAAAGCTCTTTGCTTTATTAAGCAACTGAAAGCGACAGGCACTCCCAGGAAATTATATTACCCTCTTTCGTTTTGTACCCAAAAAAAAGAAAAAGACGGACGGAAGCATATAGCCGGTGGGGATCGCCCAACGGCGACCGCTGGAGACAACAGCAGAACTTCAACTGTTTGCGTGTGGGTCGGTCCCTTGAGTAATATCCATAGAGAATGACATGTATTTTCAGGAAGAAAACTGGGGGAAAAAAAATCTAGGAGATTGCAATGATACTATCATACCCCGCATCTACATCACCCAAATTGCTCAAAAGTTAGAATTTGTTCCAATCACCGTTTAAACAGTTATTCCTCTTGACTAGTTGGTAAGATTGGTGAGATTTACGAATTAGGTTGAATCTAGGAGCTCGTAGGGTGATTATTAGTGGAGTGAATGGCCCAAAAGGTCACTAAACTATTAAAAATGGCATTCTTTGGTCATCAAACTTTTTTTGTGGCCAAAAAGGTCACTAAACTCGCAAAAACTCGTAGTCATTTTACCGAATTTCAACGGTTTCTCATCCGGTGGCATGGGCAACGTGGAATGGAGGAATATAGTCAAAGGGCAAAAATGTTTACTCGTATCAAATGAAAAAAGAGCAAGAAAAGGAAGCATTCATATCAAGCTTTTTTGTGTCCAGTGTTAAGCACCGGAAAACCACCTAATACGGTACTGAGACATCCGACCTCGTTATACTTGAGACTAGACTTATTTGAAGAACTGGGGAAACCCGCTTTAATTTGGTGGAAAGAAGATTTCTTCTGCGGTCCTCTTTGAGCGGAATTGTTGCTCCACTTCTGGGGACACCTTGAAGGAAGCCTGCAGCACTTCCGGGGATAAGGCCTTCCAGACCGATGTTCTTCCAGCCATGTGAGTGAAAATGGGACTGCCATACCACAGCAATAAACCCAAAAAAAAAAAACACGGTCAGAATGAATTTACAAGATAGAGAGGAAAAAAAAACAATCAAGCACTGAATTTGAGGAGTACTGACTCTGGAGTTGTGACAATAGAGAACCACTCGAGACCATCAGCATCAGCAATTTTCGAGACGACGAAAAACCTGGGAACTATGAACAGATTACCAGCCTTAACAGTTGTTTCTAGGACCCGCTTGCCATCAACGCCAACAATCTGGGCACGGCCGTGGTGAAAGCAGTGATGAAACTTGTGGGCTCAAAGGGGTCATCGTCGTCGGAGTTGGATGTGGGGTTGGGGTTAGTGGTGGGACGGATAGGGAGAGTGGGGAGGTCGGAAGTGACGAGACAGAGAGGAGAGTGAATCTCGGTCACAGCTAGTAAACTTCTGCACTGGGTCAAATTGGAAAGTGAAGTGTTCACAGCCAGTAAACTTCACCGGAGAAGACGAAGTGAATGTCGGTTGATTGGTCAACTTTGGGGACGAAACAGTATGTGAGATCACTTGCCCCAATACTCTTTTGGACATTTTTGCCCATATCAGAATATTTATTCAATTCAAGACCCTTGTAACCGGATGAGAAACTAGGACTGTCAATGGGGCTGGGCCAGCCCGAGCTCGGCTCGTTCGGCCCGACAGAAAGCCCGATGAGCCCGATCATTTAGTGAGCCGGTCTGAGCTTGAGCCTAAAAATTAGGCCCGAATTAAATGTGAGCCGAGCTTGGGCCTTATTAGGCTCATACCCGATATAGGCCCGGCCCTTTAATTACCTATATATATAATATTTATATTTTGATATTATGTATAATTATATATCCAAATATATTTTTGCTAAATACTAAATATATATATAAATTACAAAACACAAAAACACATCTAAAGACTCTTTCATGAGTTTTCTTGAGAACCAATATTAGTAATGCATAACTAAATCTCTAATTTTTTTATTGGTTGAGTAACTTTTTGTATTGGCATATTATTGGTTGATTTTTTTTTTTTGGTCTACAAACACAAAAATCATCAAGCATATTTGGATTTAAATCACAAGATTATAAAAAAAAGTTTCAACTTTTAAAGATGTATTGGCTTATGATTGCATGTTTTATTACTATTTATCATGCATTTTAAACGGATTACATATAAATATTGTTGAAAAAATTTTGGTTTATATACTTTTTAAGAACTATTATTTGTTCATGTTTAGTTTTAATATTATAGTCTTGTAAATATTAAATTAGTTTTACAACTTAATAGTTATATTAATTATATTAAGAAAATTCAGGAGTAATAAGTGAGCTTGGGCTAAACCCGATTAAGGCTCACAACCCGAATATTATGTAAGCTGAGTATGAGCTTCACATTTACGAACCCGAAACTCATAGCCCGAAGCCCGAAAATGTCTCAAATTAAATGAGTTGAGCTTGAACTCATCAAAACCCGGCTCATTAGGCCCGATTGACAGGCCTATGAGAAACCGTTGAAATTCGGTAAAATGACTACGCTGGAGAGTTTTTGCAAGTTTAGTGACCTTTTCGGCCACAAAAAAAATTTAGTGACCAAAGGATGCCATTTTTAATAGTTTAGTGACCTTTTGGGCCATTCACTCTTATTAGTGTGTTTTGAAATGTTTCGAAACTCGGACTGATGGTTAAATTAGTAAAGTGATTGGGTTAGGGTTCAATCGGTTCAAATCTGGTCCATTAATTTTTTAATTTATTTTTTATTTTAAAAATAAATAATAACAAATAAGCAGAAATATGTATAATCAACACAGAAATCCTAAATTTTAAATATCTTTTAGAGAAGATTTATTGATTTAGTATCTTTTAATTCATCAACCAAAAAAAAAAAAGAAAAAGCACTTCATAAAAAAGATTAAGAATCAACAAAATTATGAACAAATCTATCCAATATTTTAACTTAAACAAGGAAGAGTTTAACTTCCCCAACTCAAAAACAAATCTGATAGAATTTGTAAAATTGACTCCAAAAAAAGTAGAAAAAATCATGAGTATGAAAACAAAAGATAGAAGAGGAAAGGAAAAACAAGTTTGCTCCCTTGTCTACCGAGTTCAACTTCATGATCATCTTCACCATTAACAATGTGAAAGAAGAGAGGGAAAAAAAGAGGGAAAAAAGGAAAAAAAGAAAAAAGGAGATGAATGGAGCTTGTATAGCAGCTCCCAGAGGTGAAGATTCTTAAAAGAGAAGAGAATTGAGAGTTTCTATAGTTTTTTCTCAATACATGGAATATTCCAGTTTTGCCAGACTAATCTCCCTGCGTCTGTGCACCCCGCCCCCTCCAAGAATACATAAGAGATAGAAAGGTAATTCGAACACACGATCTCGGGACCTAACTAGGCTACCCCGAGACCATCTGAGTTAATCTTAATGGACAAAAAACTATGCTAAGATTTTCGTTTTTTTTTTAACATAGGGAGTATCCCAATTTTGCCACTCTAATCTCTCTGTGCCTGCGCATCCCGCCTCTCAAGAATACATAAGTGGTAAAGAGGTGATTCGAACACACGATCTCGAAATCTAACTAGATTATCCCGATACCATTCGAGCCAACCTCAAAAGATTTTTAGATTTTAGTTGAATTAGTCATTTTGTTTTGAAGTTTGACCAACTAAGGTATTTTCTTTAATTCGAGAAAAGATGGCCCATCATCCAACTTAATAGTAGTGGCAAACAATTAGTTGTCGATGTTAGGCTTTGCTAGAGCCCAAAAGCTCAAAAAATTGAGTAGCCTATAAAAGAATAGTCCAAGGCCCAAGTCAAACTTCAGAAACTGGACTTGACCTGTTTATGCGATTTATTAATTTTGACTGATTTTTTTAACTTTTTGATGTTTTTCATAGAATTGGACCAGTATCATGGTTAGTTCGATTCTTAAAATATTAATGTTTTACTGTTCCATAGAACTTTTAACTAAAACTGTTTTATGGTCAAAAAGAAAATGCAAAATGTGTAATAATTAGAATTTAAAGTGTAAACTAAAAAACAACACTTGTAATTAGCGTTGCAACCTGTAGGTGTTGCAAAAAAATAGTTCATCATTTTTCATTCATCATCTCCCCTTTGATAAAGATACAATCAAAACACAAATACTTCCTAAATAATCTTAACAAGATAATAGAAAATCAAAGATAGTTAAACTAGTCAAAAGACCAAAAATATAGAACAATTCTAACAAGTAGCTAACAACCTAACTTGCAGAACTAAATTCAACCCCTTCACCTACGCATGCTCCTTTGGCATCTCCTGATCAATAAAATAATGTTTGGTTACTTGAATAATTAGTCATCAAACTCAAATCCAAAACGAATCCACAAAAGAATTGAGACCTGATTTTCTCCGGTGGCCGCCCCTAACTTGAGGATACAGCCGGCTTCCCACCTTTCTCTACCCTGCAAGAAAATATACGCCTGGCCAAGAAATAATCATCTACCCTGCACATCTGAAATTGTGACCTCGTTCAAAGAACAAAATTCTGGGTTTTCAGGTAACTTGGTATTGTTAAGAGTCATAATTTCAGCAAAAGCTGGTCGCTTAGGAGTGGCGAGAGCCATTGATTCCTTGAGGAGCATAGATACCACGTCCGACATTGTTGGCCTATCTGCAGCCTTTTCTTGCACACACAATAAACCAACGTGAACATATTTTAGTGCTTCACTTGTTGAGACCGTTTCATCCAAACACGAATCTGTGATTTCTAAAATTCTTCCTTCTGTCCATAGATCCCAGACCTGGAATGTGACAAATGATCATTCCCAAATTACTGGACTGAAGGAAATGACACGAGTAACACTGCATTGTACAGGTAACTTACATGTCCTATTAAGTTCAGGTGACGATCCGAATCGTAGAAAGAAGTGTTCTTCTTTCCAGTTATGATCTCAAGAATCATGACTCCAAAGCTAAATACATCGGACTTCTCAGAGTAAATCCCGTCCATGGCGTATTCAGGAGACATATAACCACTTTTTTTCTCGCAAAACGTAATCATCTCAATTAGCTAAAGCATGAGATTAGAGATTGGATATTACTCGGAGCACAATAACAAACAAGAAGATGTTCCTTCAACTTACTATGTCCCAACAATGTTCAATGTACTTCCGCGCATTTCATTCTCTCCAAAAATTCTGGCGGTTCCAAAATCTGAAATTTTGGGATTCAGGTCCGCGTCCAATAAAACATTGCTCGTTTTCAGATCTCTGTGGATGATCTTTAATCTAGAATACTTGTGGAGGTACAAAAGCCCCTGAGCTACTCCTTCAATGATTTTCAACCTTCTTTTCCAATCCAATATATTCCGCTTTGCTGCATCTGTAAGCATTTTTAGAGTATTCTGATAGTTGTAAGCATATAACTTACATAAGCAAAGAACAAATTAAGGTAAATAGAGTTCTGACACATACCAAAAAGTACTGAATCCAGACTGTTATTCGGCAAGTACTCGTATACCAATAAACGCTCTTCTTTCTCAATGCAGGAGCCCAAAAGTCTAACAAGGTTTCGATGTTGCAGCTTTGAGATCACTTTGACTTCATTCTTGAATTGTTCAATTCCATGTCCTGACATTCTATTCAATCTTTTAACTGCAACCTCTAGCCCGTTGACCAGTTTACCCTGAACCATGTATTTACATTAAAATTAAGCAAATAAAAAGGCTTTTTAGACTTAAAAGTAAATTGTTTCAAGAAATGTTTAATTAGCTGACCTTGTAGACAGGACCAAATCCTCCTTGACCAAGTTTGTTGTCCTCAGAAAAATGATCTGTGGCAACTTCTATGCTTGTAAAACTGAAGAACAGTGATTCATCATCCCCTCTGTCATCAAGATCTAGCCTTTCTGGGCCCAAGAATTTTCTAAGGTTACCTTTTCTCTTTCGCAATTTGCAACACCCGAAAAGTAATCCAAGAGCTGCTAGAAAAGTCGCTATGGCAGCACCAACAACATATAACTTCACCCTTAAATTCTTCGATTTCTTTCTTCCACTGGGAGGGCCGGCAGGTAATGAAGGAGAAACAGGGGCAGGAGCACGTGAAGGACCAACAGGAAATGAAGGAGAGCCAGGGGCGGGAGCAAGTGAAGGGCCAACAGGAAATGAAGGAGAACCAGGGGCGGGAGCAGGTGATGGGCCAACAGGAAATGAAGGAGAGCCAGATGCGGGAGCAACTGAAGGGCCAGAAGCAGCAGCCTGCAATCAGCAAGTTGTACTCTTTCATATTCTTCTTTCATTGCATAGTCTCTCATTTAACATGAACTTAAAGCAACTAATTGAATGTTAGGAATCCGTGTTTTGTGCCGATCTGTGCCTCATCATTTCTTAATCCAGCCTTGTCGTCGGTTGAGGGCCTGGCCTCCTTCATTTTTCCGGGTCTCAAGCACAATGAATCGGCCTAACTATGCTCCAAAAATCTAACTTTCATCCTAAGATGCGTTCAATTAACCCCCTTTTTGGTTTATGCTTATTTGTTTCTTTCCTTTTCTCCCCCCTAACATATCGAGTTCATTTATTTTTTTAATTAGATGGAGAGATTTGTGATGTACCCCTTGATCTTTATTACTCCACCTGCATGCATGTTATCGAAGTCTGTTCTAGAAGTTCAAATTCAAGTTAAGCTAAGAATTATCACTTAAGAAAGGGTATGAGAGGACTAAGCACTGAGAAAGACAAAGATAACACGTCTAGACGGGGATCATAACTTCAAATAAGGACGCTGACCAATGTAGTTGCCACGGGGATGATAACAGCAAATCACGAACCACAAATCATCATTTGTGCATTGAACCCTAGCGCAGCCCAGACCAACTGAGCTGTTCCAAACCACCTGAGTGTAGTTCCCGCACTCCTCCGTTTCTGGAGCACATGCGTTGGAGTCGTAATCGTAGTATTGCCTCGCACTCACCCACTGATTGACGGCATCCCCGGCCGTGAAGTCTCCGCTGCCTTCAGCTAAGTTCTCACCATAAGGGCCCCCAGATCGCGTCCAATTGCAGTAGGTTATAATCTGATAGGCGTAGTCATGTGCATAGGCAGCCACCGTGTCGTCCCAAGCTATCGGGACAACACCAACTTGGGCACGAGCTGCGTTATGAACATCGAGATAATCCTGTTTTGAGTTTTGAGCTCCAGATGGCCAGAAGATTACAAGGTGAATGAAGCTAAATAGTGCTAAGAAGATCTTAAATGATCCCATTTCTCACTACTTCTTTTTGCGCTTTGAAAATACGAGAGCAGTGAAGGTGTGCAATTCTCATCTATAGCCTATGCATGAGTTTATTTATACAGGGAAGGACGTCTTGGCTTTTGGGTTATGCAAAGGTTTATATCATATTTAAGGAAGGAAAGGAAATTATGTAGGAGTATTTAAAAACAAGATTTAATCATATATATAAAAAAGGGATAGAAAGAAAAGAAATGAAGTCATGGAAGACTAAGAAGTATCTTCTAATGAGAGTCGGTCGAGTACAAACATTCTCGCAACACTTGTACATCTAACTGCCACTCGTATTAATCTCTCGCGGGTCCCGGTTCCTATTTCCTTCCCGCGGATTGGGAGTCTTAGAACCTAAATCACATTCAAGACTCAAGTTTGCGATCCATCTCCATGGTTCAATACTCAAGTAAGGGTGAGAAATCACATTCAAGACTCAAGTTTAGCTTTTCAAATTTTAATGTGTGTGTGTGTGTGTGTTTTTTTTTTTTTTGGGTCTCTCCAAAGATAGTTTTGAAAATAGTTTTTAGTCCTTTTTATGTAAGCGACTCGGAGAGAAAAATTTGAAGATGCAGCAGCTATTTTTGGATATATTTTCTGCATGGTTGCCAGAGCAATCACAACGTATATATAGCTGATGATTTACATAAATTTAACTGAAATTTGGATGAATTCGATTCCTTGTCCGACGCACGCAACTTTTAGGTGACAAAATTTACATACAGATCGAATCCATGTAGTGGATTATTGTCCATATTTGGATATCTTATTTTTGTGGTTCTAGAGAGTTGCAATTTTGATCTCCAATATTTGGAGGGTAGACTAAAATGATCTCTTATACTACTCAAAATACATTATATTTAGTTCCACCTGTTTAAAAAATGAAGCAATTTGGTCGCGTAATTTCCCAACACCCCACCTCCATTGTCAAGATCAAGCACTTTGATGCTGCCCTGTTATCCAAATATTGTGGAAAAAGGTACCCTTAGAAGCGCGTTTATCTTGACTAAGACTTGGGAACACCATTCATCTGCTTGCCATCCATCCCAATTCCCACCATTCATTCATTGTCCGTCGTTGCTCAGAGAATTGGAACCATAACTGCGGTGGCCCGTTCGCGACGGGAATAGTTGTAGTAGTAGTAGTAAAGAAACGAAATAGAACTAGTCTGTTAGTACTGGTCCTCCTAGAGGATATTTTCAGAGTTTGTTGACAGTTGAGTCCAAGCCGTAAGATAGAAGTTCGCTAGAAGAAAAAGCTTTTGATTATCGGTATATAATGGAGAATTCAGACAAAGCTCTTTGCTTTATTAAGCAACTGAAAACGACAGGCACTCCCAGGAAATTATACTTCCCTCTTTCGTTTTGTACCCAGAAAAAAGAAAAAGACGGCCAGAAGCATGTAGCCGGTGGGCATCGCCCAACGGGGACCGCTGGAGACAACAGGAGCTGAAGTCTGGGCGGCACTTCAAGTGTTTGCGTGTGGGTCGGTCCCTTGAGTAATATCCACAGAGAATGACATGTATTTTCAGGAAGAAAACTGGGGGAAAAAATCTAGGAGATTGCAATGATACCATCATACCCCGCATCTACATCACCCAAAATTGCTCAAAAGTTATTGAATCAGTCCAAGATTCAATTTAGGATTTCTCCAATCACCGTTTAAAAAGTTATTATTCCTCTTGACTAGTTGGTAAGATTGGTGAGATTTACAAATTAGGTTGAATCTAGCAGTAGCTGGTGGGGTGATTATTAGTGTGTTTTGCAATGTTTCGAAACTCGGACTGATGGTTAAACTAGTAAAGTGGTTGGGCTAATGTTCAATCGGTTCAAATCCGATCCATTAATTAATTAATTATTTTTTATTTTAAAAATAAATAATAACAAATAAGCAGAAATATGTATAATCAACACAAAAATCCTAAATTTTAAATATCTTTTAGAGAAGATTTACTGATTTAGTATCTTTTAATTCATCAACCAAAAAAAAAGAAAAGAAAAAGTACTTCATAAAAAAGATTAAGAATCAACAAAATTATGAACAAACCTATCCAATATTTTAACTTAAACAAGGAAGAGTTTAACTTCCCCAACTCAAAAACAAATCTGATAGAATTTGTAAAATTGACTCCAAAAAAAAGTAGAAAAAATCATGAGTATGAAAACAAAAGATAGAAGAGAAAAGGAAAAACAAGTTTGCTCCTTTGTCTACCGAGTTCAACTTCATGATCATCTTCACCATTAACGATGTAAAATAAGAGAGAAAAGAGGGAAAAACAGAAAAAAAGAAAAAAGGAGATGAATGGAGCTTGTATAGCAGCTCCCAGAGGTGAAGATTCTTAAAAGAGAAGAGAATTGAGAGTTTCTATAGTTTTTTCTCAATACATGGAGTATTCCAGTTTTGCCAGACTAATCTCCCTGCATCTGTGCACCTAGGCCTGTCAACGGGTCGGGTCTAGACCCGGATCCGGACCGGATCCGTGAAATTATTGCGGGTATGGGTAGGGATTTAATTCCGTTTTCCGGATCCGGATCCGGATCCGTTTTGTCAAACAAAAAACGGGTCGGATACGGAATATAGTATTCCGACCCGTATTAGACCCGGATCCGGATATAAATAAATTAATAATTTAAAAAATATATATTTATCAATATAATTTGATTAAAGTGATGTATTTTAATAAAGTTAATTTGATTTCTTTTCTTATTTGATTTTTTCTTTGCATTAGTTAGAAATTAGTTTACAAATATATTTTTTTTTTCATTTTTATTAGAAATTATAAATTTTGCTAAATTTGTTCGGGTAGACCCGGATCCGGATCCGGGACCCGGCGGATCCCCGAATCCGGATCCGGAACATAGAATAAAAGACCCGTCGGGTAAACGGGTCGGATCCGGGTCCGGCATAGTAATTCGGGTCCGGGTCCGGAATAATGAATTCCGGCCCGGACCCGACCCGTTGACAGCCCTATGTGCACCCCGCCCCCTCCAAGAATATATAAGAGGTAGAAAGGTGATTTGAACACATGATTTCGGGACCTAACTAGGCTACCCCGAGACCATTTGAGTAAATCTTAATGGACAAAAATCTATGCTAAGATTTTCGTTTTTTTTAACATGGGAAATATTCCAATTTTGTCAGACTAATCTTCCTGTGCCTGTGTACCCCGTCCCTTAAGAATATATAAGCGATAAAGAGGTGACTCGAACACACGATCTCGAAATCTAACTAGGTTATCCCGATACCATTCGAGCCAACCCCAAGAAATTTTTAGATTTTAGTTGAATTAGCCATTTTGTTTTGAAGTTTGACCAACTAAGGTATTTTCTTTAATTTGAGAAAAGATGGCCCATCATCCAATTAATAGTAGTAGCAAACAATTAGTTGGAGATGTTAGGCTTTGATAGAGCCCAAAAGCTCAAAAAATTGAGTTGCCTATAAAAGAATAGTCCAAGGCCCAAGTCAACATTCAGAAACTGGACTTGACCTGTTTATGCGATTTATTCCAGTTCACCAATTTTGATTAATTTTGACTGATTTTTTTTTTTTAACTTTTTGGTGTTTTTTTATAGAATTGGACCAGTATCATGATTAGTTCGTGATTCGATTGATTGAACTGGCCGACCTAGTCCGATTCTTTAAAATATTAATGTTTTGCCCTTCCATAGAACTTTTAACTACAACTGTTATATGGTCAAAAAAAAAATGCAAAATGTATAATAATTAGAATTTAAAGTGTAAACTAAAAAACAACACTTGTAATTAGCATTACAACCTGTAAGTGTTGCAAAAAAATAGTTCATCATTTTTCATTCATCATCTCCCCTTTGATAAAGATTAGTTCATCATTTTTCATTCATCATCTCCCCTTTGATAAAGATACAATCAAAACACAAATACTTCCTAAATAATCCTAACAAGATAATAGAAAATCAAAGATAGTTAAACTAGTCAAAAGACCAAAAATATAGAACAATTCTAACTAGTAGCTATCAACCTAACTTACAGAACTAAATTCAACCCCTTCACCTACGTATGCTCCTTTAGCATCTCCTGATCAATAAAATAATGTTTGGTTACTTGAATAATTAGTCATCAAACTCAAATCCAAAACGAATCCACAAAAGAATTGAGACCTGATTATCTCCGGTGGCCACCCCTAACTTGAGGATACAGCCGGCTTCCCACCTTTCTCTACCCTGCAAGAAAATATACTCCTGGCCAAGAAATAATCATCTACCCTGCACATCTGAAATTGTGACCTCGTTCAAAGAACAAAGTTCTGGATATTCCGGTAACTTGGTATTGTTAAGAGTCATAATTTCAGCAAAAGCCGGTCGCTTAGGAGAGACAAGAACCATTGATTCCTTGAGGAGCATGGATACCACGTCCGACATTGTTGGTCTATCTGCTGCTTTTTCTTGCACACACAATAAACCAACGTGAACATATCTTAGTGCTTCACTTGTTGAGATCGTTTCATCCAAACAAGAATCTGTGATTTCTGGAATTCTTCCTTCTGTCCATAGATCCCAGACCTGGAATGTGACAAATGATCATTTCCAAATTACTGGACTGAAGGAAATGACACAAGTAACACTGCATTATACAGGTAACTTACATGTCCTATTAAGTTTAGGTGACGATCCGAATCATAGAAAGAAGTGTTCTTCTTTCCAGTTATGATCTCAAGAATCATGACTCCAAAGCTAAATACATCGGACTTCTCAGAGTAAATCCCGTCCATGGCGTATTCAGGAGACATATAACCACTTTTTTTCTCGCAAAAAGTAATCATCTCAATTAGCTTAAGCATGAGATCAGAGATTGGATATTACTCGGAGCAAAATAACAAACAAAAAGATATTTCTTCAACTTACTATGTCCCAACAATGTTCATTGTACTTCCGCGCATCTCATTCTCTCCAAATATTCTGGCGGTTCCAAAATCTGAAATTTTGGGATTCAGGTCCGCGTCCAATAAAACATTGCTCGTTTTCAGATCTCTATGGATGATTTTTAATCTAGAATACTTGTGAAGGTACAAAAGCCCCTGAGCTACTCCTTCAATGATTTTTAACCTTCCTTTCCAATCCAATATATTCCGCTTTGCTGCATCTGTAAGCAAGGCAGATCCCAGTATTTTTAGAGTATTCTGATAGTTGTAAGCATATAACTTACATAAGCAAGAACAAATGAAGGTAAATAGAGTTCTGACACATACCAAAAAGTACTGAATCCAGACTGTTATTCAGCAAGTACTCGTATACCAATAAACGCTCTTCTTTCTCAATGCAGGAGCCCAAAAGTCTAACAAGGTTTCGATGTTGCAGCTTTGAGATCACTTTGACTTCATTCTTGAATTGTTCAATTCCATGTCCTGACATTCTATTTAATCTTTTAACTGCAACCTCTAGCCCGTTGACCAGTTTACCCTGAACCACGTATTTATATTAAAATTAAGCAAATAAATAGGCTTTTTGGACTTAATCGTTTCAAGAAATGTTTAATTAGCTTACCTTGAAGACAGGACCAAATCCCCCTTGACCAAGTTTGTTTTCATCAGAAAAATGATCTGTGGCAACTTCTATGCTTGTAAAACTGAAGAACAGTGATTCATCATCGCCTTTGTCATCAAGATCTGGCCTTTCTGGACCCATGAATTTTCTAAGGTTACCTTTTCTATTTCGCAATTTGCAACACCAGAAAAGTAATGCAAGAGCTGCTAGAAAAGTCGCTACGGCAGCACCAACAACCGATAACTTCACCCTTAAATTCTTCACTTTCTTTCTTCCACTGGGAGGGCCGGCAGGTAATGAAGGAGAACCAGGTGCAGGAGCACGTGAAGGGTCAACAGGAAGTGGAGAGCCAGGGTCGGGAGCAGCAGCCTGCAATCAGCAAGTTGTACTCTTTCATGTACTTTCTTTCATTCCATAGTCTCTCATTAAACACGAACTTAAAGCAAATAATTGAATGCTAGGAATCCGTGTTTTGTGCCGATCTGTGCCTCATTATTTCTTAATCCAGCCTTGTCATCGGTTGAGGGCCTGGTCTCCTTCATTTTTTCCAGGTCTCAAGCACAATGAATCGGCCTAACTATGCTCCAAAAATCTAACTTTCGTCCTAAGATGCGTTCAATTAAGCCCCTTTTTGGTTTATGCTTATTCGTTTCTTTCCTTTTCTCCCCCTTAACATATCGAGTTCATTTATTGTTATTTTTAATTATATAGAGAGATTTGAGATGTACCCCTTGATCCTTATTACTCCATTCGCATGCATGTTATTGAAGTCTGTCTAGATCTTCAAATTCAAGTTAAGTGAAGAATTGTCACTTTAAGAAAGGGTATGAGGGGACTAAGCACTGAGAAAGACAAAGATAACACATCTAGACAGGGAGATCATAACTGCAAATAAGGACGCTGACCAATATAGTTGCCAGAGGGGTAATAACTGCAAATCACGAACCACCAACCATTGTTTGTGCATTGAACCCTAGCGCAGCCCAGACCGACTGATCTGTTCCAAACCACCTGAGTGTAGTGCCCGCACACCTTTCCTGGAGCACATGCGTTGGAGCTGTAATCGTAGTATTGCCTCTCCGATAACCACAGACTGACGGCAACCCTGGCCGTCAAGCCTCCGCTGCCTTCAGCTAAATTCTCACCGTAAGGGCCCCCAGAGCGCCTTAAATTGCAGTCTTTTTTCGTGTAATTGGCGACGTCATGTGCATAGCCAGCCACAGTGTCGTCCCAAGCTATCGGGCCAACACCAACTTGGGCACGAGCTGCGTTATGAACATCGAGATAATCCTGTTTTGAGTTTTGAGCTCCAGATGGCCGGAAGATTACAAGGTGAATGAAGCTAAATAATGCTAAGGAGATCTTAAATGATCCCATTTTTCACTTCTTCTTTTTCTGCTTTGAAAATACGAGAGCAGTGAAGTCGTGCAATTCTCATCTATAGCCTATGCATGAGTTTATTTATGCAGGGAAAGACGTCGGAAAATTTGACTTTTGGGTTATATATATATATATAAAGGGGATAGAAAGAAAAGAAATAAGTCATGGAAGACTAGGAAGTATCTTCCAACGAGACTCGGTCGAGTACAAACAAGGAGAGCATCTAACTGCCACGCGTATTAACAGCATTGCTCTCTCGAGTCCGGCATTGCCCCTGCTGTCGTGGGTAGGTCTTGGTTCCTATTTCCTTCCCACGGATTGGGAGTCTTAGAACCTAAATCACATTCAAGACTCAAGTTTATGATCCATCTCCATGGTTCAAGACTCAAGCAAGTGTGAGAAATTTTGTGGGGCGTTGACCATTCTCTGTTTAGCTTTTCAAATTTTAATTTTTTTTTCTCTCCAAAAGTAGTTTTGAAAATAGTTTTTAATCTTTTTTATGTAAGCGACTTGGAGAGAAAAATTTGAAGATGCAACTATTTTTGGATATATTTTTTGCATGGTTGCCAGAGCAATTGCAACGTTATCATAAATTTAATTGAAATTTTGATGAATTCGATTCATTGTGTGATGCAACTTTTAGGTGACAAAATTTTGGGTAAAAAAACAAAAAAAAAAAAATCCATGATAAAGTTAATATACAGAAAAGTCCTCCGTAGTTTCAAAACATATAATACGCCACCTCATGCTTTGAATTACATTTTAAAGATGATGGAATCTATTAAATTTAATAGAAATGGATGAAATGACAAAAATGCCCTAATATAATTAAGCAAAAGAAAGCTCAGCAAAATCATTTGTTTTATTCTCTAGAGAGAGAGAATTGAGAACTAAGGGGTAGAATAGGTATATTTGTTTAAAATTAGGTATAAAATATTTTTTTTTAAGGTTTCAATAAGTCATTTTCTTTAAGTTTAACGGATTCCGTCACCTCTACAATTTCGTTCAAAAGTATGAGGTGTCATGTTGTATGTTTTGAAACCACGAGGGATTTTTCTGCGTATTAGATTTACTATGGAGGCTTTTTTGGTTTTTACTCCAAAATTTATATACAGAATCCATGTAATGGATTATTGTCCATATATTTCTTTCTTTTCTTTATTTGAATGTTGGATATCTTATTCTGTAGTTTTAGAGAGTTGCAATTTTGATCTCCAATAGTTGGAGGGTAGACTAAAATGATCTCTCATGCTACGCAAAATAAATTTAGTTCCACATGTTTCAAAAATGAAGCAATTTAGTCCCATATGGTTTGGACAAAAACTAGTTCAGTCTCATAATCTTAATAACTAATCTAATATAAAATGAAAGACAATAGAGGTTGGTGTTGGTTCACTAAGTCATAGATTTCTAAATGTCTTTGCATCATAAATTCCCCACATGCTAAGGATAAACAAAGGGATAATTTTAAAACCTCAAGGGAAGTTTCTAACAGTTGCACTAGACTCTCTCGAGATTTAAAAAAAAAAAATTCAGAAACCTCTTCTATCATGAAATTGGGTCTCAATCTTTGCATCAGATCCGGTGAAATAACCGTAGTAACCTTACACCCTGCAAGGTATTTGGCAGCTGCATAGACGTAATCAACTAAATCAGTAATTAACCGAATATATAGGAATAATCAAAATTTAGAACTAAAAAAATTCTAATTTGCCATGAGAAAAGGGTGCTAATTTCTAAATAATCACTATTTAAAACCAAAAAAATTTCTAACTTGCAATTACAACTGCAATATTTGTTCAAGCCTTTTTAAGGCCTGAAAAGGCCATATTTTGTTTTTCCAATTCATGGTTGAAATTAGTTTTCTTGCTATATTTTTAGTGATTCTACCCCAATTATTGAATCGAAAATCTCTAGAATTTGCATTCCAATTGTTTGTTCCTGATGTTGTATAAGTAATCCTAAATGTAGATATTACAAAGAGTCGTTGCAAAAAGGTTGTAGAAACTGCATTTGCCAGCATTTACACTTAGACCTTCTAACTTTTGGCTTTGTATAAATATCAATTCATACTTTTATACTAGATTAACTAACAAATATAATATATGAGAGGCATTTATTGAATCATATTGTCCTCTCTCTTCTAAACCCAATTTTTTATAGATTAAATTTCTATACACTATCATGTTTCTCCATTGAATGCATGACATATTATTCAAATTTGAATTTGAAATCCAAATTTTGCAAATGTGTCGTGCATTCAACCATGATAGTGTATACATTGTCAGTGTATATAAGATTTACTCATTTTTTATTGTTTGTTTTTTGGAATTGGGATGGACTTGTTACAAGCTAACCTGTTTTAGAGGAGGTTTCTAAAATTTATAAAACTTTGAGGGAGGCCAATTCAATCATAGAAGCTTCGGGGGAGATTTCTGCAATTATTCCTAAACAAAAACTTGAAAAGTAGGCCTTTTTTTTCAGAAAAATTTCAACCCCATAACGATAGCATAATCCCTCCATGCTTGGGAAACTTCTTAATAGAGGGAAGGAACGCATTTCCTTCCTATTAGCTGTCCTGAAGCCAATTCAGCAATGCATTCTTCTCGATTGATGGAAAGAACGCCTTTCTTTCCTGTTTGCTGTCCTCCTGATCCCAATTCAAAACGGCATTGTCAAATGTCACTGAACTTGACTTTCGACCAAAACAGTTGTCTCCCTCCATCATCAAGCGAAGTAAACGCGTAGTTTCCCAACACCCCACCCCCATTGTCAAGTAGTACTACTTTGATGCTGCCCTCCTTTTATTCAAATATTGTGGAAAAAGGCCGCCTTAGAAACGCGTTAGTTCCTGTCTTGACGAAGACTTCGGGACACTGACATCTGCTATCCTTCTGATAGAGCAGTTATCTGGCGGCACAGTTTTATTTTGTCCTAATTTTGACTATTTACTGTGCTAAGTACTGAGATTTAATTTATATTTTATATTTGTATGAATTATAGATGGTCAGCATTAAAAATAATCTCTTGAGATAAATTTACAAAAGACCCTTCGTCTCAGAGCGTGATCACGCCTTAAAAAATAGACGTTACCGAAAAACCGGACCCTGATCCACGTGAACCGAGAGTAGCACAGGATTAAAACTCCACAGAAGGCCAGCTTTTGTTAACTTTGGAAGTATTGTATATAAAGAACTTTATATAAAGTGGGAATGTCACTTGAATTGTTGGTGGTCTTTCGTCCTCTGCGCCTGTGCAAATCACGTGCCGGGCAAATCCTGTTGCTGGTCCTCAGTGGCTTGCTGCCTTTTTGCTCCTCCATCGTCATGCACCTTCATTTTTTGCTGCCTTTTTAGTTGGTTCTTTTCTATATACCCATGCTGTTTTTTTTTTCCCGCTCCTTCTTTGCTTTTCTGACGTATTATATATTACATTATATATTATATATTATATATATATACCTATCTTCTATTATATTATATTTATATTTAGTCTATATTTTTAATAATATTTGTTATAAATTCTTTTTTTTATATATTATTTCGCTATTCGGTATTTGCTTCTTTTTTTATATAGTACCCATGTTGTTTTTTTATCCTCTCCTCCTTTAAAATAAATATTTTGTATTTGTATGACTTTTTTTTTACTTTTTATACTTTTTTTATATAGTACCCATGCTGTTTTTTTTTCCTCTCCTCCTTTAAAATAAATATTTTGTATTTTTATGACTTTTTTTTTCTTTTTATACTTTTAAATATTATTTTTTCCTTTCTCCCGTTTTTTCATCTTTACTCTTATATTTATTTTTTTGTTATTACTGGCTGACTATTTTTTCCCTTCTGCGTAATAATTTCCGGATATTTTCTCTTCCCATTTTTTAAAACATATTTTCTTATGTGATCTTTCTTACCTGTGTTGTAATACAAAATTTATTAGTCAACATGATAGTAGTGCTTATTATTATAAGGCTGGTACTAATGATACATTTGTATAATATCTTAGCTATATTGTCATGAAAACATTACTAATCATAATGATATAACAGTACTTACTATTATAAGCCTAATCCTAATGATAGATTGGTCTAATCACCATGAACACAAGACATTAATAGGCGAGCCAGCATAACGAGACGCCTTGCCCGTTTCTTCTATTGGTCGGCACAGTCACCTCTCAGCCTACGCAGCCTGCAATTGATTATTTTTGGGTGTCTCCATGCAACATTTGCACGTCTCTAGACATGCTTTCCCAGGTTCTCATGCATCCAAGACCTTCCAGGTAATCATTTGAGTTTCTTCCACTTGCATTTCACCCTCATTTCCTTCTTCTTTTGCTTCCTTACATGCATTGCTTCCACTTCTTCTTCCTCCACCTTTTCCTTACCTCTGTTTCCTTGTGCGTCTTTCTTCAATCAGTGTTCTTGCTGCTTTCTTGCTGTTTGCTACTACATCTGCTGTAAGTGCTGCTGCAATTTCGCTATTCCTATTCTTGTAGTGCTGTTTGTATTCCCCCCCCCATTCTTGTACTTATCGTGCTTGCTGCTTTGTTCTACATGACGATGCTATTATTATTCATCTTGCATTTTTTTTTTCGATTCTGTTTGTTCTACCGTTTCCATTTTCATTCCATTGTTATCTCTTACTGTTTTGGCTTTCGTTTTTACTTTCACTTGTACCCAGTTTTTAGTTGCCTTTGTTCCTTTTCGTCGGCTTTCATGCTGAAAATTGCCTCTGTTCTATATGATTCGCATGCTTTCTTGGTCATCTTCGTTTGCATGCTATTATTGTTTCTACACTTTTTAGCTTTCTGCCGTTAATTGCTTTTTTTCGTTGCCCTCTTCGTTTCCTCCATGTTCTGATAGCTGCAGGTTGCTGCTTATTTTCCTTGCTTCAGGAAGGGGTGGTAAGCATTTTTTAGTTAATTGTAATTGAGCCACTGTGTCTGGTGCTTTTTGTTGCCTCTATTCCTTTATTATCTGCTTTTCTGCTAGAACATTGCCTCTGTTCTATATGTTTCGTATGCTTTCTTGGTCATCTTTTTTTTTGTTGTAATTGAGCTGCTGAGTTTTATATTGCATTTGAGCCGCTGTGTTTACTAATTTTTGTTGCTGCTGTTCCTTTTTATCCTCTTTCCTGCTAAACCATTGCCTCTGTTCTGTGTGTTTCGCCTGCTTTCTTGGTCAGCTTCGTTTACATGCTACTATTGCTTCTACACTTTCTACCTTTCTGACATTTGTTGCTATTTTTTGTGGCCATCTTCAGTACCTCCAGGTTCTAGTAGCTGGAAGTTGCTGCTTACTTTCCTTGCTTCAGCAGAAGGTACTTAGCATTTTCTTTTTCCAAGAGTGATTGAGACGTTATGTTTACTGCTCCGTCGAGCTTTGTCTCCTTTTATCAAACATTTATTAGCTACTTTGTTCTTCATTTCTGTTTATATGCCGCGTTAGCTTCTTCTGCTTTTACTTCCTGTCTGACGTGCCTGCTTTTCCGTTGGAAATACCTGTGGTCCGTTTATGTAGTCCTCTCGCAAATCTCCTACCATACCATGGATAGAAATGCAAAACGCCGCAAACGTTATGCAGAAATGGAGGAAAAAATAGTCAGCCAGTAATAACAAAAAAATAGATCTAAGAGTAAAGATGAAAAAACGGGAGAAAGGAAAAAATAATATTTAAAAGTATAAAAAGAAAAAAGAAGTCATAAAAATACAAAATATTTATTTTAAAGGAGGAGAGGAAAAAAAACAGCATGGGTACTATATAAAAAAAGCACTACAAATAACAATTGAGCAAAAAATTGTTCGCTATCCGTGTTTATACGATTTTTTTAGTTGTCGACAAGGTTATACGATTTTTTTTGTGAGCTGGACTGGTGCTAAGCAGTCAGGAAAATGGGGGAAAAAAGAAAGAAAAAGACAAGGAAAAATCGATTGAAAAGCAATGCTAAGCAAATCAAAGTGATAGTCACTTGAGCCAGGATTTAGCGACCGTAGTAGTGCTATTCTAATGGTGGGAAGTAGCCTCCGAGATTCTATTAAATCTTTTTAGTCATTGTCTGCACTGTTACATGTATAGATTATGTGTCATGGCTGTTGTCCATATACTTGCCAATGCCCCCTTTCGAAAGTTTTAGAATGTCACATTTGCAGAAAGATTTCAAGGCTGGTAAGCAAACCAGGCTACAAGCTTACTCAAGCCATAAAATCTGTAATAGACCAACTAAAGTTTGCCATATTAACGATGGCAGAACAACTAATTTTACCTAGTTAGTCCTGGCATGCCTTCTTCAGAGTTCTTCTGTTATACTTATTCCAAAATGACCATTTAATGCTAGGGGCTGCATCCAAAATTTATGCATATTAGTTGGTGTTATTTTCTGCATCAAATGTCAAAGCACACATGCTGGTTGAGGCATAACAAACTGAGCTATGGAGAAGGGGATCCAAATTTTACTATAACATCGTAGTGCAGTAATACAGATTCCGTCTCTTTTCAGCTTAGATCGTAATTGGAGTAATAGCTGATCTTTTCAATCTTTTCTGCATGATGCTTCACTAAGCACAACTAGCCTATCTAAAGGCTGTAGTAAAAAATTGAATTTTGTTCGTTAGAAAATGTGCTACTAAGTAAATCACATTTACTGCACCTTCTAAGACCGCAGGATAAGATTTCGGTGAACATCTTACTTGCTAAAAGAGAAAAGCTAATAGTTTTTGTATCTCTTCAAGTTGTGGTCCTTTGTTAAGGCTAAATATTAATTACCATATCAGGTGAAAAGATATGTAAGTTTGCTACTAATATTGAGAGCTTTTAGAGAAACAATTAAGGGAAACTGATTTTGTCATGAAGACGACACAATGTCCCTTCGACATTCTGGAAACTTGGTGTTCGACGTGCTCCGTTAGTCAGCAACAAAAATGCATGGCTACTTACCTTGGAGTCATCCACTACCTAGTCTGTTGGATACTTCAGAACATGTTATCGCAAAAAGTAAGTTTTCTTCGCAGTGAACACTTCCAAATTTTTAGCATTGTCGTTGTTTTATTTGCCAGCTTTGTACGCTTACCTTTCTTTATGAAACACAGAACAAAGAATGCAGTGTCAGAGAGTAGCCTCAGCAATGAAACCAGATTTCGTTCAGGACATCGCTGATGCTCTATCATTCTATGAGATCTTCACTCAGGAAAACCAACATAATTTTGTGAGCTTCAGTTATCTCCTGTTTTATTTTTTCATTCGCTGCTTTCTTTCCCACTAATAACTTTATCCTTTCGGTGAACAACAGAGTGTGCCCAAATTTGTATCCTTCTTCATACACAGTGACAAAACTCCTCTGGTCACCCTACGAACTGGAAACAAGACCATCACTGTTGGAATGCGTCGGAGACAGTTTACAACAAATTGGAACACATTTACTTTTGAGCATCAGCTACAATTTGGCGACGCTTTAGTATTTATCCCTAAAACAAAATCCTGCTATACTGTCCTCATCTTCGACAAGCGTGGAGTCGAAAAGCTGTTCCCTTGGTACAATAAGTTCTGCATCTTCTCTGATGCACCAACCAGTGCAACTTAGGCAACTTCTTTTACATTTATTACAGGAAAAACGTTGTCCTTGTTATATGTTCACTAAGCATATGAATGCCAGCTTCTATTGTCTTTTCTTTTTTCCATACCAAATTTACCTCAGCAACCCGCAGATTTATTCCAACTATTCAGGAAATTGCAGCCAAATTAATGTTCTTTGATTCTATCAATTACAGGAAATTATTTTGCCTACATGGATTTATCTATTCACTTTAATTGCCTGCAATTTTTTTAAGATCTGTTGCACTAACAGTCGGACAAACAAGTTCTTCATATCCCCTCTTTAATTAATGCCAAGTTCTTCATATCGTTAATTTATATTTGCATTCCGCTGCTCGCCAAATTTCACGTAAGATGGTAACAAATATGTAATGAAGTAGGTAGCTGGAAGTGAGAAGGCGTGGGGAGTACAAAGGTGAAGGCATGTGAATGGTAGGGACAGGCAAGGAAGAAGCGTGGAATAACAGATAAAGGCAAGTAGGTAGAAGCAAATGGACGAAGGCGCGAAGTCAGCAAAGAAGAAGGCGCGGGTGAAACGGCAAAGGCGCGACTGAGGAAGCACGCCCATTCTGGGTTCACACTTTCTGCACAAAGAACTGGAATCCAACAACCTGAAGATTCTTACCACACGTGTCATTTGCTTATTAGCTACGGAAAATAAGTTAGTTAGGAATATTTCTATAAAATGACTGAATCATGTAATAGATAGGAGCTTTTTGTTAAGATTGATTTTCTGTAATCAGGAAGGAAATATTCCTTCTGTTCTCCCTCACATTTCCTACATTCTTTTTCCTCTTCTCCTCTTTCCCGCCAAATCCAACTCTGTATCTGAATTTGAAATTTATCAATAAGAATTGGTATTGTTCACTTTCAATCTGTTTACTCCGAGCATTATCTACTGGTTCCAATTCGATTCCATTCTCAGTTTCATTATTAGGTTCTGTACCACAACAGTGGTATCAGAGCTGAGCTAACGAGCCATAGGGATGACCAAGAATCAGGATGAGACTCTGAGAAGAGAGATAATGGAGCTCGGCAGTGTGGTAAGGACCTTCACTAACAAAAATGAGGGGATGGAACAGGCTATCAGATCAATGGAATTCAGGCAAGATGCAACTGAAAAACTGTTGAAGGGGATTGACCAGAAGTATGAAGGAATGATGAATATGATGGCTCAACTGATGTCCAAGGTGAATGATCGAAGCAAGGAGCAGGAAGGGAGTAGCAGCTCTAAGGAGGTGACTCAGTCAGAAGGATCTAAATTGGATCCACGGAGGGAAGTGTCTGGTAGGAGAGAGTTCAGGAATGACCACAAATTACCTAAGATGGATCTACCAGTTTTTACTGGGGACAATCCTAGGGAGTGGATCAGGAAGGCCAATAAATACTTCAAGATACATGGAGTAGAAGATGATATGAAGTCTGAGGTGGCCGAGCTCTACTTCAGGGATAGAGCAGACATTTGGTTTCATGGAGTCTTCCATGGGAGGGAAATGATACCTTGGGGGGAGCTGACTACTGCCCTGTGTGTCAGGTTTGGGGAAGGAAAACCTGAAGAAGCCATCGAGGAATTCAATAAGCTAACACAGGCTGGATCAGTAGCTGACTACCTGGAGAAATTTGAGATGCTCAAGGCCCTGGTAATGCCATCCTTACCTCATTTGTCTGATTCCTACTATAAAGCATGTTTTATGAGTGGATTGAAAGAGGAAATTGTTAATATGGTTAAGATATCTAAACCTGAATCTCTTGCTGACGCCATTGAAATAGCTAAATTGCAAGAAAGGAACCTTAAGGCCATACAGAAGATACACAAACCTACTCCTGCTAACTTTCATAGCCAGAAAGGACCATTCAAAGCCCTTACTCATCACAAATGGAACCAGGATAACCCCAAACACCCTCCTAGAACCTATAACCAGAATTCCCTCAACCAAAACCAATTCAAAAGGATCTCTCCTGAAGAATTTAACCTGAGAAGGGAGAAAGGATTGTGCTATAAATGTGCTGAACCTTACACCATGGGGCATGTATGCAAACAGTCCCATGTTCACTACCTATTAGCTGAAGAGGAGGGGGCTACAGGAGGAAGTGAAGAACAAGGGGATGAAGTGTTCTGTGACTGCATTAATGGAGAACTAACTGATGAACATATAGAGGTGTCTGTGCATGCATTGGCTGGAGGTGCAGGGCACAGGACCATAAAACTTAAAGGATTGACAAAAGGGAAACAGGTCACTGCATTAATAGACAGTGGCAGCACCCACTGCTTTATTGATGAACATTTAGCAACTGAACTGAGACTTGGTACTCAGGGGCCTAGTTTGTTGGTCAATGTAGCTAATGGTGAGAAGGTGGATTCAAAGGGGCTGGACAAACCCCTGCAATGGGAAATGCAGGGACACCAATTCCAGCATTCCTTCAGCACACTTAGGCTGAGTGGCTGTGACATGATTCTAGGAGTAGACTGGTTGGCAAAGTATAGCCCCGTAGAGTTCAACTTCAAGGACCTCAGTATGAAGATTCACCAGGGAAAACATGAGGTAGTACTGAGAGGAGAAGAAAACAGTGTCAGGTTGAAAGGACTCAAGGGGAAGTGGCTGAGGAAGCAACCTTATGGGGTGGTAGCCCAGTTGGCGGCAGTGTCAGGGGCAGCTGATCCAGGGCAAATCCCTACTGAAATCAGTCAAGTTCTGGATCAGTACAAAGATGTTTTTGAAGAGCCTAAGGGGATGCCACCTACCAGAAGCCATGATCACCAGATCTCTCTGCATGAAGGAGCCAGGCCTTTTCAAGTAAGACCAAACAGATGTCCCTACATCCAGAAAACAGAAATTGAAAAGTTGGTGAAGGAAATGTTAGAGATAGGCATCATACAGCCTAGTAGCAGTCCCTTTGCCTCTCCAGTATTGTTGGTCAAGAAGAAGGATGGAACGTGGCGATTCTGCGTGGACTACAGACAACTGAATGAACTGACAATCAAGAACAAGTTCCCTATGCCCTTGATTGAAGAGCTGATTGATGAGCTGCATGGAGCCAGGTACTTCACTAAGCTGGACCTAAGGGCAGGTTACTTCCAAATCAGGGTCAAGGTAGAGGACATTCCAAAGACAGCCTTCAGGACACACCAGGGACTCTATGAATTTAAAGTCATGCCTTTTGGCTTGACCAATGCCCCTGCAACTTTCCAAAGTTTAATGAACCAAATCTTCCAGGAGCAAATGAGGAGACATGTACTTGTGTTCTTTGATGATATTCTGGTTTACAGCCCAACCTTGGAGGCATATGTGGAGCAGGTGACTGAAGTTTTGGGCATTCTGAGGCAGCACCAGCTATATGCCAAAATGAGTAAGTGCTCATTTGCACAACTGCATGTAGAATATTTGGGGCACATAATTTCAGCAGAAGGAGTTCAGGCTGATCCAGGAAAGATTGAGTGCATCCAGAACTGGCCAAAACCAACAAATATTAAGCAGTTGAGAGGATTTCTGGGGCTAACAGGCTACTACAGGAGATTTGTCAAGGGGTATGGAGGCATAGCAAGGCCTTTGACCAATTTACTGAAGAAGGATAACTTTCACTGGAGTGAAGACTCAGAGAAAGCTTTCCAGGAATTGAAGGAGGCCATGTGTAGTACCCCTGTCTTAGCTATACCTGATTTTACTAAACCTTTTCTCATTGAAACAGATGCATGCTACAATGGCATAGGAGCAGTGCTGATGCAGAACAAGAAGCATATTTCCTACCTCAGTCAATCCCTGGGTCAAAAGAATATGGGGCTATCCATATACGAGAAGGAGTTGCTGGCATTGGTGACTGCTGTGACTAAGTGGAGGCATTATTTGGAGGGACACCACTTCATCATACACACTGACCACCGGAGCCTGAAGTACTTGCTGGAGCAAAGGATTACCACCCCCCTCCAACAGAAGTGGCTCACCAAGTTGTTAGGTCTGAGCTATGAAATTCACTAAAAAAAGGGGAAAGATAATGTGGCTGCAGATGCACTTTCTAGGCAAGGCAGAGAAGAGGAAGGTGAATGCTCAGCCATATCATATGCACTGCCTACCTGGATCAGGGAAATACAGGAGAGCTATAAGGGAGATGACTGGATCAAGGAAACTATTTCACAGGTACTACTGACCCCCACACAGGTGCCAAATTACTCCTACCAAGATGATATACTCAGGTACAAGAAAAGGCTGGTGGTAGGAGGACAGGGAGACATCAGGGAAAAGATCATCTCTGCTCTACATGATTCTCAAATAGGGGGACACTCAGGAGTTCAAGCTAGCTACCAGAGAGCCAAGCTATTATTCTATTGGCCAGGGATGTACAAAACTATCAGGGAGAAGGTTCTGGAATGTGACACCTGCAGGAAATGTAAGGATGAACATGTAGCTTATCCAGGCCTGCTACAGCCACTGCCTACACCTCAACATTCGTGGAGCCATATCACCATGGATTTCATTGAAGGATTACCTCAGTCAGAAGGAATGAATACCATAATGGTGGTGGTGGATAGGTTCACAAAATACGCACACTTCATCAGTCTCTCTCATCCCTTTGATGCCCCAAAGGTAGCCAGACTCTTCATTGATCATGTTAGTAAACTACATGGAATTCCCCAGTGCATGCTTTCTGATAGAGATAGGATATTTGTTAGTCAATTCTGGGGGGAACTGTTCAGTATGTTGGGAGCCAGGTTGAACTACAGCACAGCCTATCATCCGCAAACTGATGGTCAGACAGAAAGAGTAAATCAGGTGTTGGAAATGTACCTCAGATGCTTGACTCATACAGAACCTAGGAAATGGAACCAATGGTTAACTATGGCAGAATGGTGGTACAACACCTCCTATCACACTGCCATTCGGATGACCCCTTTTGAGGCACTATATGGCCTTCCCCCTCCCCAACTGGCTTTGGGACCTTATCAGCAGCCCAGAGTAGCTGCAGTAGGGGATTATATCAGAGAAAGACAACAGATTGACAGTCTACTGAAGCAAAATCTGAAACAGGCTCAAGAGAGAATGAAGAAGTATGCTGATGAAAGGAGAAGCGAGAGGGAATTCAATACAGGGGATTGGGTGTATCTGAGGCTACAACCATACAGACAGACTTCAGTAGCTTTGAGAGGGAACACCAAACTCTCAGCAAAGTATTTTGGTCCCTACAGAGTGGAAGAAAGGATAGGAAATGTGGCCTACAGACTAAACCTACCAGCCCACTCGAAGGTCCATCCTGTCTTTCATGTGTCCCTGCTCAAGAAAAAAGTAGGAAACAAAACCTCCCCTACACTTCAATTGCCAGACACGGATGAGAAAGGACACTGGAGAGTAGAGCCAATAGCAGTGCTGGATAGGAGGACGATCAAGAAACGAAATGCTGCAGCCACACAGTGGCTAATCCACTGGTGGGGCACAGATCCTGCAGAGGCCACCTGGGAGGACGCGGAAGGGATCAAACAACAGTTTCCTATGTTCCAGTCTTGAGGACAAGATCTGTCTCAAGGGGGAAGCATTGTAATGAAGTAGGTAGCTGGAAGTGAGAAGGCGTGGGGAGTACAAAGGTGAAGGCGTGTGAATGGTAGGGACAGGCAAGGAAGAAGCGTGGAATAACAGATAAAGGCAAGTGGGTAGAAGCAAATGGACGAAGGCGCGAAGTCAGCAAAGAAGAAGGCGCGGGTGAAACGGCAAAGGCGCGACTGAGGAAGCACGCCCATTCTGGGTTCACACTTTCTGCACAAAGAACTGGAATCCAACAACCTGAAGATTCTTACCACACGTGTCATTTGCTTATTAGCTACGGAAAATAAGTTAGTTAGGAATATTTCTATAAAATGACTGAATCATGTAATAGATAGGAGCTTTTTGTTAAGATTGATTTTCTGTAATCAGGAAGGAAATATTCCTTCTGTTCTCCCTCACATTTCCTACATTCTTTTTCCTCTTCTCCTCTTTCCCGCCAAATCCAACTCTGTATCTGAATTTGAAATTTATCAATAAGAATTGGTATTGTTCACTTTCAATCTGTTTACTCCGAGCATTATCTACTGGTTCCAATTCGATTCCATTCTCAGTTTCATTATTAGGTTCTGTACCACAACATGATTTATCTATTCACTTTAATTGCCTGCAATTTTTTTAAGATCTGTTGCACTAACAGTCGGACAAACAAGTTCTTCATATCCCCTCTTTAATTAATGCCAAGTTCTTCATATCGTTAATTTATAATTGCATTCCGCTGCTCGCCAAATTTCACGTAAGATGGTAACAAATAAATTTCTACTAACCTTTGGATTCTTGGTTTAGATGGCAGTGTCATTTGAATTAATGGTTAGTGTATCTTTTTTCATCTTTATAATTGTCTCCCCTACACCACCTAATTTTTACACAACATACTGCAAAAAACAATTTATAGTACTTTATTAAATTCATGCTCTGTAATGCTCCCAATGGGCATTACATTAATTCTTCACCGTGCGCAAGCACGGTATATTTCTGCTAGTTTGAATAAAAAGGGCCAGACGTCTTTTTCGTTGGAGAGCTCCTGGTGGCGCTACAAATAGAAAAAGCAAAGCCAAATTCACGTATCATTGAATTAGAGGAGTTTGGCCCTTTTTGTCAGACGCTTTTTCTTTGCCCTTTTTGCTTTTTTGTTTTCTTCTTCGGCAGCAATTGCAGAGAAGAATATAGATTAGCCTTGATTTTCTTTTCGAGAGGGGTCATTGCAGACTTTTGTAGCTTTTCGGTCGTGACACTTTGATTCCTTGGCTTTTGTTTTGACTCCGCACAATTTACGTTAGCTTTTATTCGTACACTTGCGGCTCTAAAGCAAAGACGAAGGCAGGGCCTTCTCTGTTGTTACTGCAATTAATTCCCCTTCTCCAATTCTTCAACGAATAATTGAATGAATTCAATTAAATCACGCGAGATTGACACGATGAGGAGCGGCTAATTTTCTCCTCTACCCAAAGGTTGACGCGAAGGCGCGGTCCATATTATCTGTGAGATCTAATCGAATCTTCATTATTTCTTTTAATTTATTGCTATTCGTGCGTTTCCTGAATTAATTGTTCATGGGTATTTTATTAATTGAATATCAACGGCCGGGTATTTGATTTAATTTAATAGCCTACTGCCACGTTAATTAAATAGAATCCGTAATTGTTCATTTAGTTAACACCTCGTGGCAACCACCATAATTGGCTTTATGATGGGGAAACGCAAGATCTAATTTAAATAAACCTTCTTAGCGTGTTTATTGGTTAGGGTTGGGTTCTTCTAGCTTTAATGCAATTGGGTAATTAAATTCCTACGGTCGTACCTAGGGTTGTTATCTGATTAGAGAAGCAGTCAATGGTCGTACCTTGACTGTCGAAAAAGTAAGGAAGAACTAGTTGTTAGAGTTTATTGATAACTATAACCAACCTAATGATGAATGGATGAAATACCTTTGCATCAATGAGCATTTAATTGGACCGTGCCTGAGCAGTTGATCCTTTGGGTGGAATTTTGTTAATTGCTATTTTTAGTGAATTGTGCTTTGTGAGTTAGTTTTGAATTTTGTTCGTTTTATTTCATTTTTATTTGCCTCCCATTGAAAATCCCCCATTTTCGTTCTACTAATTTGGAAAGAAATAATTTCCTACTTGCTCTCTGTGGAATCGACCCTACTTGCCATTGTACGCAAAATTAATATTTTTATAGACTAATCTGGTATATCGGATCAAGCAAAATCTTCGGGAACAGGGTGAATCAAGTAACCCATTGCACACCTAGGGTTCCTGCTCCAGTACTTGGATTTGTTCTATAATTACTTGTGATGATAATTAGGACTTTTTAGTAATTATTATTGCACAGGTTGCTCCAGTACTTGGATTTGTTCTATAATTACTTGTGATGATAATTAGAACTTTTTAGTAATTATTATTGCACAGGTTCGGCACCTGTCACCTTCCATCCCAATTCCTACCATTTATTGTCCTTCATTGCTCAAAGCATTGGAGCCATAAGCTGCTGCCCACTGGGCAGTAGTTGTAGTAATGGAAAACCTAAACTAAATAGGACTATTCAATTAGTACTGCTCCTCCTAGAGGACATTTTAGCTGTAAAACCACATTTTCAGATATGTGAATTCTCCTCTATATGTAAAAAATTAAATAGTAGTAGTCAATTAGTAATAACTAGGTTGGATCGCAAGTTTTTAGTGTACTAATGTATTGTATGCGAGATAAAAAGGTAACTAGAATGTATGTCAAGAGAATATTCCAAAAAAATTTCACAGAAAATGACAATCCAAACAGGCTTAGCAACTTAGATTGGAAAGGGCATCAAATGAAAGAATTTGTTTCCACTATGGCTTGCTCAAAAGCAAACAGTTTTGTTGTTTTTTTTTTTGGGGGGGGGGACTGTGTGTGGGTGTTGGTTCGGGAGGGGGGGGGGGTTGGAAGAAGTTCTGATAACACGTTTTGTTTTGTTAATGACAAATAATGTTGGTATTTGATTAATTGCAGGCTGTAGGATTTGCATGCTAGGTGATTTGATCCTCCAACTTTGGGCCAGCAAGGAACTTCCAAGTTCCCGTGGTACTCAACTCACTTAAATGAGTTGGTTGTCAAGTTACTAATAAATAAAATAATGTTTGATCACTTGAATAATTAGTCATCAAATTCAAATCCCAAACGAATCCACAAAAGAATTGAGACCTGATTATCTCCGGTGGCCACCCCTAACTTGAGGATACAGCCGGCTTCCCACCTTTCTCTACCCTGCAAGAAAATATACGCCTGGCCAAGAAATAATCATCTACCCTGCACATCTGAAATTGTGACCTCGTTCAAAGAACAAAATTCTGGATTTTCAGGCAACTTGGTATTGTTAAGAGTCATAATTTCAGCAAAAGCTGGTCGCTTAGGAGTGGCGAGAGCCATTGATTCCTTGAGGAGCATAGATACCACGTCCGACATTGTTGGCCTATCTGCTGCTTTTTCTTGCACACACAATAAACCAACGTGAACATATTTTAGTGCTTCCCTTGTTGAGACCGTTTCATCCAAACACGAATCTGTGATTTCTGAATTTCTTCCTTCTGTCCATAGATCCCAGACCTGGAATGCGACAAATGATCATTCCCAAATTACTGGACTGAAGGAAATGACATCAGTAACACTGCATTGTACAGGTAACTTACATGTCCTATTAAGTTCAAGTGACGATCCGCATCATAGAAAGAAGTGTTCTTCTTTCCACTAATGATCTCAAGAACCATGACTCCAAAGCTAAATACATCAGACTTCTCGGAGTAAACCCCGTCCATGGCATATTCAGGAGACATATAACCACTTTTTTTCTCGCAAAAAGTAATCATCTCAATTAGCTTAAGCATGAGATTAGAGATTGGATATTACTGGGACTCTGGGAGCAAAACAACAAACAAGAAAATATTCCTTCAACTTACTATGTCCCCACAATGTTCATTGTACTTCCGCGCATTTCATTCTCTCCAAAAATTCTGGCGGTTCCAAAATCTGAAATTTTGGGATTCAGGTCCGCGTCCAATAAAACATTGCTCGTTTTCAGATCTCTATGGATGATCTTTAATCTAGAATACTTGTGGAGGTACAAAAGCCCCTGAGCGACCCCTTCAATGATTTTCAACCTTCTTTTCCAATCCAATATATTCCGCTTTGCTGTATCTGTAAGCTAGGCAGATCCCAGTATTTTTAGAGTATTCTGATAGTTGTAAGCATGTAACTTAGATAAATAAATGAAGGTAAATAGAGTTCTAACACATACCAAAAAGTACTGAATCTAGACTGTTATTAGGCAAGTACTCGTATACCAGTAAACGCTCTTCTTTCTCAATGCAGGAGCCCAAAAGTCTAACAAGGTTTCGATGTTGCAGCTTTGAGATTACTTTGACTTCATTCTTGAATTGTTCAATTCCATGTCCTGACATTCTATTCATTCTTTTAACTGCAATCTCTAACCCGTTAACCAGTTTGCCCTGAACCATGTATTTACAATAAAATTAAGCAAATAAATAGGCTTTTTGGACTTAAAAGTAAATTGCTTCAAGAAATGTTTATTTAGTTTACCTTGTAGACTGGACCAAATCCTCCTTGACCAAGTTTGTTTTCCTCAGAAAAATGATCTGTGGCAATTTCTATGCTTGTAAAACTGAAGAACAGTGATTCATCATCTTCATTGTCATCAAGCTCTGGCATTTCTGAACCCATGAAGTTTCGATGGTTGCCTTTTCTCTTTCGCAATTTGCAACACCAGAAAAGTAATGCAAGAGCTGCTAGAGAAGTTGCTATGGCAGCACCAACAACATATAACTTCACCCTTAAATTCTTCGATTTCTTTCTTCCACTACGAGGGCCGGCAGGTGATGAAGGAGAGCCAGGGGTGGGAGCACGTGAAGGGCCAACAGAAAATGAAGGAGAGCCAGAGGCGGGAGCAATCGAAGGGCTGGAAGCAGCAACCTGCTCTTAGTGTAAAAATTTTTATACACTGTCAGTGTAAACATTTTTTTGCATGCACAAATGCACAGGTTTAGATGAATGACACATATCACCGTTCAAATTTTAAATTTACTTTCTGCCATGGGACATATGTCTATACGACTATATCTAGTAGTGTAAAAAATCTTTATACTAACCTTGTATAGAATCCAAAGTCTATATATCTAAATCATTGTCAAAACTTACCTCACAATGCAGTTTTATTTATTGCAATAGGATAAGTCTCTGAGATTTTATTCTCAAGAAATGCTACTAAATTAGATACTACCTTTGATAGCTGAACTATATCCGCTGTCAAAATATTTGTTCCAGATCATGACCCCTGCGTACTTGTGAGAGGACTTGATGGATGGTAGAACCTGAGAAATGACCGCATCCGGTGGAATATACCCTCCGTCCGCAGCCGCTGGAGCTGCTGGTACTCCTAGGAAGATCTGATTGGAATGAACTGAGGTCCATTGGTTCCATGCCGCTATCAGGTTATCAGCATTAGTCGAATACTGACATTGCCCATTGTTGTAAAATTGTATCCAGACATAATCGAAAAGGCCAGTGCTGATAGCCGTGCTTAGATCAGCATCAGGGAACGGGCACTGTGGAGCCGCAGATAAGTACACCTTTTTCTGCGAGCTGAATCCAGAGAGCGCCCTGGCCAGATTGTCCCAATACAGGCCTGTCCCGCTTTCAATAGCAAAGTCTATACCGTCCAGAACAGCATGTCCAAGCGGGCGGGAACGTGATTGACCGCCCAAGAAATTGTTCCAAAGGTAAGTGGCGACTTGCCTTGCATCGTCGGCGGAAGTAAGGCTCTGGTTTCCAACCGCACCTCCAAGGGAAAGCAGCACTTTGATGTTTTGGTTCTGGCAATCATTTATTTCAACACTTAAGGAGGTGCAGGTGCCTGCGCCGGGGTTGCAATGGCCGGCTAAGTTCAATACTGGTGTGTTTCCACCGCCAAAGGTTGTCAGAAATGCCAGGTTCACGAACTGATAGTTTCCACTGGCGCATGTGTCGGCCAAGCTTCCTTCATCGCCATTTTGACCCCAGTAGACGGCAACTCCTGCAGCTTGTGAGGAATGGAATAGGGATACCATCATCAACAGTGAGGATGCCAAGACTGGCAACCACGTTAAACCCGCCATCTTGTCGATCGGTCACCGCATCTATAATTCTATATAGTACAACTATTTGGTTTTGTGAATTTCTCTCTTGCTTGATTACGTTGCCCCAAAAGATCTATCCCTTTATACGGTTTAAGCAGGAAAACTAGAGCTAGAAGACAGATTAGAGCTGTAGAAATGTTGTTGATGCACGCTTAGACTAAAAAAAAAAAAAAAAAAAAACTTTAGGAGACTCGGTCGAGAGTACAAACAAGTGCGCCTAACTGCCACGCGTACCATTGCTCCCTTAAGTCCTGCGTCGCCTCTGTTCCCGCGGGTTGATTCCTATTTCCTTGCCTGCGGATTGCGAGTCTTAGAACCTAAATCACATTCATGACTCAAGTAAGCTTCAGAAATTTTGTGGGGCGTTGACCATTCTTTCTTTAGCTTTTCAAATTTTAATGGTTTTTTTTTTCGTGAGATAGTTTTGAAAATAGTTTTCAATCTTTTTTCTCCAAGACACTTGGAGAGAAAATTTTGAAGGTGTAGCTGTTCCTGGAGATACTTTCTGCACCGTTGCCAGAGCAATTGCTACATATAGTTGATAGTTTATATAAATTTAATTGAAATGTGGATGACTTTGATTCATTGTGTGATGCAACTTTTAGGCGAAAAAATTGTTCAACTTCGTGCCTTGTACGCTTCGTGTCTATATTTATATGCGGAATCTATGTAGTGGATTATTGTCCATATATTTCTTTCTTTGCCTTACTTGAATGTTGGAGATCTTATTTTATAGTTTTAGAGAGTTGCAATTTTAATCTATGGTTTGTACAAAAACAGTCTCATAACTTAATGACTAATCATTATCATTATCATTCGTTACTATATAAAAAGGATGATGAGTTTTGGCAATAGGGAGTGTAAGTGTAAGCATATTTTCTTCTTAGTTTTTCTCATAGCTGAATTACCCTCGTGTCTTTTAATTAGAGTTATTGTATTTCAATCACGACATTAATAGGAAAAATTAAAAGTTTCAATAAATTACATCTCAAAAATATTGGTAATTAAAATTAAAAACTGCCCATTTACAACTATAGTTGCAAATCATTTTCTTCATCTCCAATTGTTGTATGTGTTAAAATTATCTTCAATTATTATATTCTTATGCATGATAATTAAAGCTAACTATATCTTATATACATATTGTTTTAGAAAAAAAATCATGATTAATAAGAAGACAAAAGGTTATAAATAGTTAATGAGAAAATAAAAGGTTAAATTGATGATTAAATTCACTATATTATCTCATATTGTTTAAGAAAACTTCAAAAAAATTATGGATAATTGTAAAAAAATAACATAAAAGGATTACAACTACTAAAATTGATAAAAATTTGTTGCACCCAAATCATAATGTTTTAGTATATATTTTGCTTAGGTTTTATTGTGTACACTAGTTTGATATAACATAGAAAATTTCCTGTTATTACTATCACAATCCGAGTAAAATATGCAACAATTTAGTTTAGTTATGATAATCTTCCATCTTCATAGTTCAATAAACTTTTAATTACTCTGTATTTAAAAAATGTTTTCTACAACTACCAATTGCTTTTTTTTTTTATAATATGATTTTTTAGTCAATATTATACCAATAACTTAGCTTAAATATGATAATCTTCTATCTTCAGAGTTTTTATAACTGTAAAATACATAATAAACTTTTAATTACTTTATACACAATAAACATTTTGTACAATTATGAATTGCTTAATTTTGTTCATTATATAGTTTCTTAGTTTATATTATGCCAATAATCAGAGTTTTGCAAAGAAATGAAAGACAATGGAGGTTGGTTGCGGTGCACTATAGATTTCTAAATGTCTCCGTCTCATAAATTCCCCACATGCTAAGGATAAACAAAAACTTACAAATTAGGCCTTTATTTTCCACCATTTCTCAGAACAATTTCAAACCCATAGCCATGGCATAATCCCTCCATGCTTTGGAAACTTCTTAATAGAAGGAAGGAACACTTTCTTTCTTGTCCGCAGTCTTGATGCCAATTCAAAACTGTATTCTTCTGGTTTGATGGAAAGTACACCTTTCTTTCCTGTTAGCTGTCCTGATCCCAATTCAAAGCTGCATTACCAAGTCTCAATGAACTTGATTTGCAACCTAAACAGCTGTCTCCCAGCATCATCAAGCAAAGTAATTGCGTAATTTCCCAACTCCACCTCCAGTGTTCCAATGTGAAGAGGCACTTTGATGCTGCCCTGTTATTCAAATATTGTGGAAAAAGGTACCCTTAGAAACATGTTACTTCTTGTCTTGACGAAGACTTTCGAACACCATCATCTGCTTGCCAACCATCCATCCCAATTCCCACCATTCATTCATTGATTCATTAACTCCTAGTCTATCTTTAGCCCCACAAACAGAATAGTCTTTGGCAACAAAGTGAAAGATTATACAAGAAAATGCTACCAAATTCCTGTTTGATGAACTGATCATTCTTGCTATCCCAATACTCCCATTAATATATTCAGATAAACAACTAGGAGCTGAAGTCTAGCTTTTGGATCAAGAAACAAAGAACATGAAACTAGAGCATTTCAAGCAATTTAATACTATCATATTATGTTTCTATTGGCTGGCTGAAGAATGAGTCAGAGTTTGTTGACAGTTGAGTCCAAGCCGTAAGATAGAAGTTCACTGGAAGAAAAAGCTTTTGATTATTGGTATATAATGGAGAAATCAGACAAAGTTGCTTTATTAAGCAACTGAAAACGACAGGCAGTCCCAGGAAATTATACTACCCTCTTTCATTTCATACCCCAAAAAATAAAAAGACGAACAGAAGCATGTAGCCGGTGGGCATCGCCCAACAGGGACCGCTGGAGAAGCGGGCCCTGCAACAGGAGCTGAAGCCTGGGAAGCACTTCAACTGTTTGCGTGTGGGTCGGTCCCTTGAGTAATATCCACAAAGAATGACATTTATTTTCAGGAAGAAAACTGGGGATAAAAAATCTAGGAGATTGCAATGATACTATCATACCCATGGTTCAAAGTCGCCGTTACAGTCGCAGTCCAGACTGTTTCATATCGGTTTGGGCATATCGCTCACGGTCTCAGCGAGACACAAAGTTTGAAGCATTTAATATTCTACAAATTGTGAATAATATTCAAAAATATGCTAAACAAAAATAATAAAAAAATTAACAAAAGAAAATCTGTGAAATGTAAGTTTGCGTGTTGATGCGGGATGACTTGAGTCCACTCGGCTGAGACTATTCGTATCGGAAATCTCTCAGCTAAATTCTCGGTGATTCGGCCTAGTTCTCGGCGAGTCAAGTATTTTGGAGTCATCTCTTCGCGGTATCGTATTAGAGAGGTTCGTTCCAGTGACGACTCGGCCGAGACTTTAAACCATGATCATACCCCACATCTACATCACCGAAATTGCTCAAAAGCTATTGAATCAGTCCAAGATTCAATTTAGAATTTCTTCCAATCATGGTTTAAAAAATTCTCCTAACTAGTTGGTAAGATTGATGAGATTTACAAATTAGGTTGAATCTAGTAGCTCGTGAGGTGATTATTAGTATGTTTTGCAATGTTTCGAAACTTGGACCCGTGGTTGAACTAGTGAAGTGGTCGAATCAAGATTCAGTCGGTTCTAATTCGATCCATTAAATTATTTATTTATTTTTCATTTTAAAAAATAAATAATAACAAATAAGAAAAGATATGTATAATCAACACGAAGATCCTAAATTTTTAATACCTTTTAGAGAAGATTTACTGATTTAGTATCTTTTAATTCATTAACCAAATAAAAGAAAAAGTACTTCATAAAAAAATTAAGAATCACAAAAATTATGAATAAATCTATCCAATATTTTAACTTAAACAAAGAAGAGTTTAACTTTCCCAACTCAAAAACAAATCTGATAGAATTTGTAAAATTAACTCCAAAAAAAAGTAGAAAAAATCATGATTATGAGAACAAAAGATAGAAGAGGAAAGGAAAAACAAGTTTTCTCCTTTATCTACCGAGTTCAACATCATGATCATCTTCACCATTAATAATGTAAAAGAAGAGAGGGAAGAAAAGAGGGAAAAAAAAAAAGGAGATGAGTGGAGCTTGTATAGCGTCCCAGAGGTGAAGATTCTTAAAAGAGAGGAGAATTGAGAGTTTCTTTAGCTTTTAGTTGAATTAGTTATTGTTTTGAAGTTTGGCCAACTAAGGAATTTTTATTAATTCAAGAAAAAATGGCCCATCAACCAACTTAATTGTAGAAGCAAACATTAGTTGTAGTTGTTAGGCTTTGATAGAGCCCAAAAGCTCAAAAAATTGAGCAGCCAATAAAAGAAAAGTCCAAGTCCCAAGTCAAAATTCAGAAACCGGACTTGACCTATTAAAATTTTTTTTTTTCGAAACGATAACTGTTGTATATTCTATTCTATTTTATATTATGGGGAGGAGGAGGACCTGAAGAGACCCAACAGTAATTCGGAGGGGATTGAATTACCACCGGACCAGACGGGTGTACGCACTGGTCTGAATTTCTTTAAGCAGAGCCACTTAATGTAACAATTGGTAGAAGGCAAGATTTGAACATTTGACCTTCCACCCTCACCAAACTTTAATGCTTTGGTGGTGGTCAACAGCCCAAAGGCTGGTGGTTCTTGACCTGTTTAATCGGTTTATTCCGATTCACCAATTTTGATTCGTTTTTTAACTTTTCGAGTTTTTCATAGAATTTGACCAGTATCATGGCTAGTTAGCGTTTCAATTGATTGAATTGATCAACCTGGTCCAATTCTTAAAATATTGATGTTTTGCCCTTCCATGGAATTTTTAACTAAATTTGTTGTATGGTCAAAAGAAAATGTAAAATGTGTAATAATTAGAATTTAAGGTGTAAACTAAGACACAACACTTGTAATTAGCGCTGCAACCTGTAAGTGCTGCAAAAAAATAGTTCATCATTTTTCATTCATCATCTCCCCTTCTGTAAAGATACAAAATTATTTCCTAAATAATTTTAACAAGATACTAGAAAATCAAAGATAGTTAAACTAGTCAAAAGACCAAAAATATAGAAGAATTCTAACAAGTAGCTAACAACCTAACTTGCAGAACTAAATTCAACCCCTTCACCTACGTATGCTCCTTTGGCATCTCCTGATCAATAAAATAATGTTTGATTACTTGAATAATTAGTCAACAAATTCAAATCCAAAACGAAGCCACAAAAGAATTGAGACCTGATTATCTGCAGTGGCCACCCCTTACTTGAGGATATGGCCGGCTTCCCACCCCTCTACCTGCAATTACCACTTACAACTTGCAAGACCCGTCAGCCAGTAACGGGTGTGCCGCCCTTTCTCCTGCCTACTCCCATCTTAAAGACTAAAATTTGTCCAAACTCCAAACTTGGTGCAACAAAGCAAGAAAATATACGCCTGGCCAAGAAATAATCATCTACCCTGCACATCTGAAATTGTGACCTCGTTCAAAGAACAAGATTCTGGATTTTGAGGTAACTTGGTATTGTTAAGAGTCATAATTTCAGCAAAAGCAGGTCGCTTAGGAGCGGCAAGGACCATTGATTCCTTGAGGAGCATGGATACCACATCTGACATTGTTGGTCTATCTGCTGCTTTTTCTTGCACACACAATAAACCAACGTGAACATATTTTAGTGCTTCCCTTGTTGAGATCGTTTCATCCAAACAAGAATCTGTGATTTCTGAACTTCTTCCTTCTGTCCATAGATCCCAGACCTGGAATGCGAAAAATGATCATTCCCAAATTACTGGACTGAAGGAAATGACACCAATAAAACTGCATTGTACAGGTAACTTACATGTCCTATTAAGTTTAGGTGACGATCCGAATCATAGAAGGAAGTGTTCTTCTTTCCACTTATGATCTCAAGAATCATGACTCCGAAGCTAAATACATCAGACTTCTCAGAGTAAACCCCGTCCATGGCGTATTCAGGAGACATATAACCACTTTTTTTCTCGCAAAATGTAATCATCTCAATTAGCTTAAGCATGAGATTAGAGATTGGATATTACTCGGAGCAAAATAACAAACAAGAAGATATTCCTTCAACTTACTATGTCCCAACAATGTTCAATGTACTTCCGCGCATCTCATTCTCTCCAAAAATTCTGGCGGTTCCAAAATCTGAAATTTTGGGATTCAGGTCCGCGTCCAATAAAACATTGCTCGTTTTCAGATCTCTGTGGATGATCTTTAATCTAGAATACTTGTGGAGGTACAAAAGCCCCTGAGCTACTCCTTCAATGATTTTCAACCTTCTTTTCCAATCCAATATATTCCGCTTTGCTGCATCTGTAAGCATTTTTAGAGTATTCTGATAGTTGTAAGCATATAACTTACATAAGCAAAGAACAAATTAAGGTAAATAGAGTTCTGACACATACCAAAAAGTACTGAATCCAGACTGTTATTCGGCAAGTACTCGTATACCAATAAACGCTCTTCTTTCTCAATGCAGGAGCCCAAAAGTCTAACAAGGTTTCGATGTTGCAGCTTTGAGATCACTTTGACTTCATTCTTGAATTGTTCAATTCCATGTCCTGACATTCTATTCAATCTTTTAACTGCAACCTCTAGCCCGTTGACCAGTTTACCCTGAACCATGTATTTACATTAAAATTAAGCAAATAAAAAGGCTTTTTAGACTTAAAAGTAAATTGTTTCAAGAAATGTTTAATTAGCTGACCTTGTAGACAGGACCAAATCCTCCTTGACCAAGTTTGTTTTCCTCGGAAAAATGATCTGTGGCAATTTCTATGCTTGTAAAACTGAAGAACAGTGATTCATCATCTCCTTTGTCATCAAGATCTGGCATTCCTGGTCCCATGAATTTTCGAAGGTTACCTTTTCTCTTTCGCAATTTGCAACACCAGAAAACTAATACAAGAGATGCTAGGAAAGTCGCTACGGCAGCACCACCAACCGATAACTTCACCCTTAAATTCTTCGATTTCTTTCTTCCACTGGGAGGGCCGGCAGGTAATGAAGGAGAAGCAGGGGCAGGAGCCCGTGAAGGGCCAACAGGAAATGAAGGAGAGCCAGGAGCGGGAGCAAGTGAAGGGCCAACAGGAAATGAAGGAGAACCAGGGGAAGGAGCAAGTGAAGGGCCAGAAGCAGCACGCTGCAGGCAGCAGGTTGTACTTCTCTGGCTCAACAGAGAAATCCCAAGTTTCATTCCAGATGATAGCCATGTATCATCAGCAGGATAATCAAAGCTTTGCCAAACAGTATGCCCAGATCTTGATCTCAGAACTAAGTTCCCGTTATCAAGCAGAGTTGCACTAGTCTTACCGATCATAACTTTCTGTTCAGCATTCACAGTGAATACTGCAGCATCTGAATTTCCGTGGCCATAAACCTCTAGCCTTCCGCTTTCATTCATGGTTATGGCTGAAATTCGAGGCCTAGCTGGTGCAGCCAGATAAGTTTTGGCAGCCCAGACATTGATTGAATGATTCAGATACACGAACTGAATTACCAAGAATGAAGAAGAATGGTCGCTCAAGAACCGATAACGCTTATTAGAGGACTCCAAGATCTCTCCATTGTGCAATTTCAAAGATTCACTAACTCCTAGCGTATCTTTAGCCCCAGAGACAGAATATTTTTTGGCAACAAAGTAAGCGATTATACAAGAAAATGTTACCAAATTCCTGTTTGATGAACTGATCATTCTTGCTATCCCAATACTCCCATTCATATATTCAGATAAAGAACTAGGAGCTGAAGTATAACTTTTGGATTAAGAAACAAAGAACATGAAACTTGAGTATTTCAAGCAATTTAATACTAGCATTTTATATTCCTACTGGCTGAAGAATGAGTCAGAGTTTGTTGACAGTTGAGTACAAGCCGTAAGATAGAAGTTCACTAGAAGAAAAAGCTTTTAGCGGGTGATGATTATCCGTATATACTGGAGAAATCAGACAAAGCCTTTTGCTTTATTAAGCAACTGAAAACGACAGGCACTCCCAGAAAATCATACTCCCTCTTTCATTTTATAACCCAAAAAACAAAAAAACAAAAAAGAAAAAGACTAACAGAAGCATGTAGCCGGTGGGCATCGCCCAACGGGACCGCTGGAGAGGAGGGCTCTATTAGGGGTGGGCACGGATCGGGTATCCGTCCCTAATAAAATTTAGCTGACCTGACCCTAAAATATCAAATCAGCTATTTTGCGATCCTAACCTGTTCCTAATGTTTTCGGGTACTCGACTCAGATCTGCCCTGCTAGAAAAATAGGATTGAATATCCTATTTTACCCATCGGATCGGATCAGGTTAGTCGGGTTTTGGATCGGATCAGATTTTTTGCCCACCCCGCCCTACAACAGGAGTTGAAGCCTGGGCAGCCAAGCGGGCCCTGCAACAGGAGTGGCAGCACTTCAACATTTTGCGTGTGGGTCGGTCCCTTGAGTAGTTTTCACAAAGAATGACATGTATTTTCAGGAAGAAAATTGGGGAAAAAAATCTAGGATATTGCAATGATACTATCATACCCCCCATCTACATCACCGAAATTGCTCAAAAGTTTGAATCAGCCCAAGATTCAATTTAGAATTTGTCCCAATCATGGTTTGAGAAATTCTCTCAAGTATAGGTGGTAAGATTTATGAGATTTACAAATTAGGTTGAATCTAGTAACTCGTGGGGTGACTTGCAGTCTGTTATGCAATATTTCAAAACTCGTATTGATTGAACTAATAAAGTGGCCGGGTCAAGTTTCAATTGGTTCAGCTCTGATCCATTGATTTTTTATTTCAAAAAATAAATAATAACAAATAAGTAGAAATATATAAAATCAACACAAAAATCCTTCGAGTTTGTAAAATTATCAAATAAAAGAAAGAGTAATTAGTAAAAAAATGAAGAATCAGCAAAATTATGGACAAATCTATCCAATATTTTAAATTAAACAAAGAAGAGCTTAAATTTCCCAATTAAAAAACAAATCTGATAGGATTTGTAAAATTAACTCTAAAAACAAGTAGAAAAAATCATGAGTATGAAAACAAAAGATAGAAGAGGAAAGAGAAACAAGTTTGCTCCTTTATCCATCGAGTTCAACTTCATGATCATTTTCACCATTTATAATGTAAAACAGAAAATAGAAGAGAATAGGGAAAAAAGAAAACAGAAGAGAGGAGATAAGTGGAGCTTGTAGAGCGACTCCTGGAGATGAAAATTCTTAAAAGAGCAGAGGTTTGAGAGTTTCTTTAGTTTTTAGTTGAATTATTCATTTTGTTAAGGAATTTTCTTTTAATTTGAGAAAAAATGGCCCATCAACCCACTTAATTGTAGTAGCAGACAATTAGTTGTAGTTGTTGGGTTTTGACAGAACCCAAAAGCTCAAAAAATTGAGCGGCCTATAAAAGAAATGTCCATGTCCCAAGTTAAAATTTAAAAACCAGACTTGATCGATTTTACCGATTTATTCCTAATCGCTAATTTTAATTGGTTTTGACTAATTTTTTTTAACTTCTCGGATTTTTTTATAAAATCGGACCAGTATCATGACTGGTTTGCAATTTGACCAATTGAACTAGCCGATTCGATTCGATTTTTAAAATAGTGACATTTTGCCCTTCCATAGATTTTTTAACTAAAAACTATTATATGGTCAAAAAAAATGCAAAAGGTGTTATAGTCAAAATTTAAGGTGTAAACTAAAAAACAACACTAGTCATTAGTGTTGAAAAAATTAGTTCATCATTTTTCATTCATCATCTCCCCTCTTATAAAGATACAATAACAAACAAAACACAAATATTTCCTAAATAATATTAACAAAATACTAGAAAATCAAAGATAGTCATACCAGTCAAAAGACCATAAATATAGAATGTAGTAGGGCCAATCCACAGGAGCCACGTGTCAGTTCGGACATGATGACCTATCAGTTCGGACAGACTAGTTCGGGCAAAAGGGATGCTAGTTCGCGCATGGCCGTCGCCTCTCAATTGGATGGGCTTGGTGGGCGGCTCCCGAACCTTTCGGAGTAAGTAGACGGAGCCCTAGAAAGACTCCCTTTCTAGTTGGACTTCTAATCCTATAAGGAAACTACTACCCACAAGCTTATAAATACACCACCACAAGACAAAGTAAGGTACGCTTTCTACAGATCAATACTATTGCTCTACTCATAGACACAACTGACTTGACCGTCGGAGTCACAATGGGATCTAGCCCCGCAGTTCTTTCCTTTTGCAGGTCAGTTCGCTTAGTTCGTTAGCTCAGTGCGGGTCAGTTTGCTCACCTCGCTGGTACCAGTCCGCTCCCTCTTAGTTCGCTCAACCCAGCGCTGCTCAGTTCGGATCGCGCTCTCGACCGTCGCATCATAGAACAATTCTAACAAGTAGCTATCAACCTAACTTACAGCACTAAATTCAACCCCTTCACCTACGTATGATCCTCCTCTGGCATCTCCTGATCTTACTTCTAGTCCTGTCTCATTAGTTTATCCTAGTTCTGCGTGGAAGCAGTCAAAGAAATGGAAAGTCATCTATTATTGGTGTCCTATTATCATTCCGCAGGCTCTTATATTATTTGCTTGTTTGGATTGTCATTCTTCTCCAAACACTCCTGGGGCTCTTATATTTGCTCGTTTGGATTGTCATAAAATTTACGTTTTTTGTGAATATGTTTTCAAATTACATTTTACCTCACATACATCAAATCTTTACGGTACATTTTTTTATATAAAAAAAAAAACTCTAAAAAATAGCGATCCAAACCGACTGACCATGCAAAAATGATGAGTAATTATTGATAGCATTAGTTCTCCTATTTATTAAATTTACCGTACATCACAAGTTTTATATGCTAAAATTATATAGAAGTCCAAGATGATCCGAGAGTTATTTGATTTTTGATCTATGATCAGGCTTAAGAAAAGTCGACAGTGCAAAAAGGCTAGTGCTTCGTGATGAAAGGGTCGATGATGAATTGCCTTTTCTTGGTTCCACCAGCACAGAAGCCCCAATGAATCATTTTGCGGATGAAAACATACTTGGCCAAGAGATTATCATCTCTAAGAATCTGACATAGGTTCAAAAGGAACGCCTATCTGCATTTCCCGAAGTTAAAACTGTCTTTGAACATCTCCAACAATGTGAAGTCCTACGTAATATTAAGGGCCTTAGAACAAATAAATGAACCAGCAAGTTTGTTCACTGGCATGAATTTCCTTCTAGAATTTCAATCAGGCCAGTCATATGCTTTACATACTAAGTTCTGTGGTTCAGTGAAAGTTGCAGAATGGGCAAGAAATTGCAGTAAAAAGATTGAACCACGTGTCCGGATATGGGATGGAGCAATTCAAGAATGAAGTTACACTGATCGCAAAGCTGCAACATCGAAATCTTGCAAGACTTCTTGGCTATTGCATCCACACAGAGGTGTGCATGATAATATACGAGTGGTATCCATGGAGATCACAGAGCAAGCAATGTAATCTGGATAATGATTTAAATCCCAAGATTTCTGATTTCGGGATTGCTAGAAGTTTTGGAGATAATGAATCGTGTGCAAATACAAGGAAAATCGTTAGTACATGGTAAGAAATAAGAATTCAGCATTTCGTTTTTTTCATCTATGAAGGAATATGAAAACTTCTAAATTAACCTTGCTTTGATACAAATTTTGGTTGGTACTTCAAGCTTCTGTGGCAGTCAACTCACCTAAAAGAGTTGGTTGTCAAATTACTTCTAAACAAAACAATGTTTGATTACTTGAATAATTAGTCATCAAATTCATATCCAAAACGAATCCACAAAAGAATTGAGAATGATTACTGCAGTTGCCACCCCTAACTTGAGGATAAGGCTGGCTGCCCACCTTTCTCTATCTGCAATCACCACTCATAAGGGGTGCCTCTCCTTGTCCTGTCCTATTCCTATCTTAAGGGGTGACTAAAATTTGTCCTAACCCCAAACTAGGTGAAACGAAGTAAGAAAACATAAGCCTGGCCGAGGAATAATCATCGGCCTTGTACATCTGAAATTGTGACCGCGTTCACAGAAGAAGATTCTGGATTTTGAGGTAACTTGGTATTGTTAAGATTCATAATTTCAGCAAAAGCTGGTCGCTTAGGAGTGGCAAGAACCATTGATTCCTTGAGGAGCATAGATACCACATCTGACATTGTTGGCCTATCTGCTGCATTTTCTTGCACACATAACAAACCAACATGAACATATTGTAGTGCTTCACTTATTGAAATCTTTTCATCCAAACAAGAATCTGTGATTTCTAAAATTCCTCCTTCTGTCCACAAATCCCACACCTGAAATGACAAACGATCATTCCCCAATTAGTGGATAGAAGGAAATGCATACGACTAAAACAACGCATAGATAACTTACATGTCCTATTAAGTTTAGGTGACGATCCGAATCATAGAAGGAAGTGTTCTTCTTTCCACTTATGATCTCAAGAATCATGACTCCAAAGCTAAATACATCAGACTTCTCAGAGAAAATCCCATCCATGGCATATTCAGGAGACATATACCCACTTTTTTCAAGCAACGAAAACAATAATACCTTGTCAAAAAATGGATATTACTCAAAGCTGTACAACAATCAGAAAAATATTCCTTCAACTTACTATGTTCCTACAATGTTCTTTGTGCTTCCGCGCATTTCATTCTCTCCAAAAATTCTGGCAGTTCCAAAATCCGAAATTTTGGGATTCAGGTCCGCATCCAATAAAACATTGCTCGTTTTCAGATCTCTATGGATGATTTTTAATCTAGAATACTTGTGGAGATACAAAAGCCCTTGAGCTACCCCTTCAATGATTTTCAACCTTCTTTTCCAATCCAATACATCCCGCTTTGCTGCATCTTTAGACAAAGTAGACCCAATACTTTTATGGCATTCTGATAGTTGTCAAAATAATTTAGACAAGCAAAACCAAATGAAGGTTAATGGATCGCTGAAACTTACCAAAAAGTACCGAATCTAGACTGTTGTTCGGCAAGTACTCGTATATTAATAAACGCTCTTCTTTTTCAATGCAATAGCCCAAAAGTTTAACAAGGTTCCGATGCTGCAGCTTTGAGATCACTTTGACTTCATTCTTGAATTGTTCAATTCCATGTCCTGACATTCTATTCAGTCTTTTAACTGCAATCTCTAGCCCATTAACCAGCTTACCCTGAATTCCATGTATCTACGTTAGACCTAAGCAAATAAATAGGGTCTTTAAACTTAAAAGTAAAAGTAAATTGTTTCGAGACATATTTAGTTTACCTTGTAGACAGGACCAAATCCTCCTTGGCCAAGTTTATTTTCCTCAGAGAAATGGTCTGTCGCAATATCTATGCTTGTAAAACTGAAGAAAAGTGATTCATCATCCCCTGTATCATTAGGCTCTGGACTTTCTGAACCCTAGTGTTCCCGGCGATAACCTAATATTCTCTTTCGGAGTTTACAACGCCAGAAAAGCAATCCAAGAGCTGCTAGAAAAGCGCCCACACAAGCACCAATAACATAAAACTTCACCCTTGAATTCTTCGATTTCTTTCTTCCACCGGATGGGCCAACAGGAAATGAAGGGGAACCAGGGGAAGGAGCAAGTGAAGGGCCAGAAGCAGCAGCCTGCATACAGCAGGTTGTACTTTTCTGGCTCAACAGAGAAATCCCAAATTTCATTCCAGATGATAGCAATGTATCATCAGCAGTATAATCAAAGCTTTGCCAAACAGTACGCCCAGATCTTGATCTCAGAACTAAGTTCCCATTATCAAGCAGAGTTGCACTAGTCTTGCTGATCATAACTTTCTGTTTAGAATTCACAGTGAATACTGCAGCATCTGAATTTCCGTGGCCATAAACCTCTAGCCGCCCGCTTTCATTCATTGATATAGTTGAAATTCGAGGTCTGGATGATGCATCCAGATAATCATTGGCAGCCCAGATATTGACTGAATGATTCAAATACACGAATTGAATTACCAAGAATGAAGAAGAATGGTCGCTCAAGAATCGATAACGCTTGTTAGAGGACTCCAAGATCTCACCATTGTGTAATTTCAGAGATTCACTAACTCCTAGTGTATCCTTAGCTCCAGAAACTGCACATATTTTGGCAATAAAGCAAGCAATAATACAAGAAAATGTTAACAAGTGATTGTTTGATGTACTGACCATTCTTGCTATTCCAAATTTCCATCAGGGCAATACTCATATCACTAAAGCTTCTTCATTTGCCTTTCTCTACATTCGAATCATCAAATAGGAGTTGAAAAGTCTTGCTTTTGGTGTAAAGAAACAAGACGAACCTGAAACTAAAGCAACTTACACTTTTCTATTTTCGATTGGCTGAAGGAGGAGTCAGAGTTTGTTCAAAGCCAGGAACCAAGCCAATTACCTTGTTGTTTCCCCTTAAGATCGAAGTTTACTAGAAGTAAAAAGGTTCCATCAGCAGCCAATGAACGCCCGCAATAATGAAGAAACCAGACAAAAGGATAGGCAGAACTTTATCTTTGATTTTCCACCAAATTTTAAAGGTAAAAATGTGGCCGTCGCCCGTTGCGGACTTGCTCGAGAAGCGGAGCTCGTAAATTAAGTTCGATGAAGCGGGGGCCCAGAATAGAATCAACATACCTGAATTGTATTGGGGGCCTTGTTTTTGGTTCAGTTTCTTGCCTAATAAACTGGGCGAGTTTGATTGGGGAACGCTGGGCTCTCTGGCAAAGCCTTTCTCTAGCTTGGGAGTTGGGTTTTTCGACACAATGAAGTTAAATCCAACTCTGCGCTTGGTATTCATCCAATCCAGAATGCTTTTTGTGTACTTTTGACCGAAAAAATGTATTTCTCTCATGTTTTCTGATCACATGCTCTAAAAACTTGCCATTGAAAGAATGTTAAGAGAACTCCTTTATTGAAGTTATCGTATTTTGTGTCGTTTTGTTTTTGGTAATAAAAAGTTTGTATGGTTGGAATTTAATCACCACCACAATGGCATAGTAAGAAGGTTAGAGAACTATTCTATTGGAGTTGGCATTGTATTTTGTGTCTTTTTTTTTTTATAATAAAAAGTTTAGATAGATTTGATTTTCATCACTACTATGAGTCAAAATATGCTTTCGAAATCACAAATCGCTAATGGAAGTTCTTAAAAATCATCTATAATACAGTTCTTACATTGGTAGTAGCATTCAAATATACGACCTTTTGTATGAAAATATTACGTTCTTACCAACTAAATTAACTTGTGTTAATTATTTTGCGTTGTTATTCACAAGAAAGTAATATTTGTGTTGATCCTTTAAAAAAAATGATCTCGAATTTGCATTTAGGGTTACATTACTTGTTGATGATAATGATCCAGTTAAATCTCTGAATCTCTTTTAGCTGTGGACTTGATGGGGCTCGAATCATCTTTACTTAGTGTTTAGTGGGCTTTATGTCTCATTTTAGTCACCCCACAAAAAAAAGGGGGGGGGGGGGGTTGGGGAAGCTAGAGAACGAAAAATATATATTACCAAACAAAAAACTGCGGCTTTGCAATGATATCCGGAACAGATATATCAATCTGTAACTTTACTCTGGCCTCCATTCTATCGGTCCAAAAAAAGAAAAAGAAGAAAGAAGAAAAAAAGCCCAAGAGCATGACATATATATATATATATTCACATTGTAGTCCATAGTCTGCTGTCAATATTCAAACTTTTACACCACTTTAACCAATCATCACGGTACAAATGGTGGGGAAGATGTCTTTGCATAGAATTTTTTAACTTAAATGGGGGTTATATGGTCAGAAACGAAAAAGAGACCTGGTGTAGCATTTTCTTCGGCCGTTAATTGCGTGTAGCTAACCACCGGCCTTTGGGCTGACGGCCACCACCCAGCCATTCAGATTTGATGAGGTGGGAGGCAAATGCCACATTTAAAGTAGTTTGACTTAAAAAAATCTACGCACTTGTCTAGTTCAATGGTGGTTTAGTCCCCTCCGAATTATTCTGAGCTTTCTTAGATCTGCCCCTCCCCCTAGTGTAAGATAGATTAGATTATCTAATAGTTGTCATCTCCGAAAAAAAATAGTTAATTGCGTGTAGCTAAATAAGAAAATGTAAGTGGCTGTTCAGGACTAGCTAGTAATATATGGGAAAGGAATGCAAAAACATCATGCGCTCCAACTGTTCAAATAGACGAAGAAATTTGGATATATTTACTTTTGAATTGCTCTGTAGGACACTGATAATTGATTATGCATATTAATCAAGACCACCTTTCTTCTAGAGTGAACTGTCGGCAGAATTAAAATATAGGTGGATTAGTGTATCTACTCATTCTGACTCTGACCAAAACTAATGTTTCTTTTACCATTGTGAGCAAGGAAACTGGAAAGAATCTAAGCCACCTCCACTTCAGAGTAGTACTTTTACTTTAATTAACTGCGACAAGATTTATGACATTGGGCAATGAAGTTTAAGTTCCCTCATAAGGATACCGATTCCAATGAAGATGTCAAGATTGGTTAGACATTGCAGCAATTTTGCAATCACTTTCTGTTTCATCGCTTATTGCCTGTCATGTATTTCTGCTTCTCAGGTTAAAAATACACTAGGAGTAAACGAGTCCTTTGTTCTGTATTATGGAGACTTCTTGGAGTCCTCCAACCAGCGCTTTCGCCTCACCATCATCAGTCCCGCGAACTGGACATATTTCCTGGCCATCCAATACGTATACATGAATCAACCATTCAACATCTGGGCTGCCAACAACTACCAAACACCAGCTCGAAAACAGCCTGCATATTTGATCATGAATGTAGATGGAAGGCTAGTCGTAGATGACTCCTTTAATAATTTGCTCTTCGTTGTAAATGGTGAACAATCTGCCATGATCAGCAGCACCACCGCAGCTCTTCTCGACAATGGCAACCTTGTTTTGAGAGCACCAGGAGGGATTACTGTTTGGCAAAGTTTTGATTATCCTTCTAATACATGGCCGCAAGGCATGAGAATTGGGATTTTCGACTTGAACATGAGAATTCCGAGGCAAAGCATTCTGACTTCCCTGTCAACATTTGATGAACCGAATTCCACATTAGCCGTTGATCACAGTAGCACAAAAGAACTGATCGTCATGCAGGATGGGGTGGTTTATTGGCGAAGTGGGATATGGGATGGCCTTAAATTTAGCTCCCTTGACTTCTTTGCTAGATTTGGTGTTACTTTTAGTTATTTTTCTGATGCGAACGAGAGCTTTTTCACATGGAATTGTAGTACTGATCCCTATGCCTTATTGTGGTTTAGCACAACTGGGAATATAACTGTTATATCTGGAGATTTTGGGGCTAATCGGTCAATGGCCGTTTGTGATGAGATTGATGAGAACAAAAGTAAAGAACAATCCTTAGGCTGCACCAATCCTTGTGGTGGTGGAGATGGCTTTAGAGAAATATGGGGTGAATTAGATGTGTGGGATGGATACACATATAGTGACCAGACTCTTGCTGGCTGCAAATTAAAATGCAGGACAAATTGTTCGTGCTATGCTTATTCTTATATTACGTACAACCAAGGAGGTTGGGGCTGTAAAACTACTAGGAGTCGGAAAGGGCAGCTGCTTTATTCTGGTACACAGAGAATTTTTGTCCGTGATAGTTTCGATTTGGCTGGGAAAGGTACCAGGAAGATGTTCTTTACTTTCTTTTATATCCAGTTCAATAATCTGGTATGGTTAAAAAAGACACGGAGGCTTTTACTTTATTATTTAAGGGGTCAAAAATTTGATACTAGTTAGAATAATTTTTTCCCCTTGTTCGTTTCTGAATCTTGTAATATGCATTCTTACATATTTTAGAGCAGAGGTAGCTTCTAAAACCAAATAGCTCACATCATCTCGGGATGTTGATGATTAACTTCCTAAATATCCAGAAAAAGAAAAAAATCAGGGACATGTTCGGCTTGTGTGTTAATGTCAAGGACTAGTTTCTTTTATTGATGCTAAAAAGAATACTAAGTTGATAATATACTAATCGTGCGATTTGTCCATTGCAGAATTAAATTCTACCCCTTCACCTGGGCTTGCTCCTCTGGCATCTCCTGCTTTTGCTCCTAGTCCTCCATCTGTAGTTTATCCTTCACCTGGGCTTGCTCCTCTGGCATCTCCTCCTCTTGCTCCTAGTCCTCCATCTGTAGTTTATCCTATGCCTTCCGCGACAAAGAAGTCAAAGAAATGGAAAGTCAAGTTATCTATCGGTGTCCTGGTAACATTTCTGGGGGCTCTTATATTGCTTTACTTATTTTGCTGCCTGCAATGCAAAAATGGTGACAGCAGAGGTAATTATCGTTAGCATTAGAGCTCCTAGTTTTTTTAACTTACTGCACATCATAAGTTTCATTTCAATTATATGCTTAAAACAATATAAAAGTCCGAGATGATCTGAGCGTTATTTGATTTTTGATCTATGATCAGGTTTAAGAGAATTCAACAGTGCAAAAAGGCTAGTGCTTCGTGATAAAAGGGTAGATGATGAATTGCCTTTCTTTGGTTTTACGATCATAGAAATCGCAACAAATCATTTTGCAGATGAAAATTTACTTGGTCAAGGAGGATTTGGCCCTGTCTATAAGGTAAACGATTAAAATCTCTGAGAATGCAACATAAGTTTAAAATAAACGCCTAATTGCATTTCCAGAAGTTAAAAATAAAGGTCCTTGAAGTTTGAACGTCTCGAACAATGTGAAGTCCTCTATTAACAGCCTCAGAGCAAGTAATAAATTAGCAAGTTTATTCACCCGCGTGAATTTCCTTCTGGCAATTCAATCGGGCCATTAATATGCTTTACATGCTAAGTTGTGTGGTTCAGGGAAAGCTGCACGATGGGCAAGAAATCGCAGTAAAAAGACTGAAACATATGTCCGGATTTGGGATGGAGCAATTCAAGAATGAAGTTACAGTGATCTCAAAGCTGCAACATCGAAATCTTGTACGACTTCTTGGCTATTGCATCCACAGAGAGGAGCGCATACTAATATACGAGTTCCTGCCCAATAAAAGTTTGGATTCAATTGTTTTTGGTAAGTCGAAAGAGCTAACTACCTGGATATTTTCATGTCAAGGCTTCGGCCTGAGTGGTAAAATTCTTTCATTGAGATGGTTTAGATGCCATCCAATTGATAATTTACTCAACAATTTTTGTTATCAGATTCTGAAAAAGGAATAGTATTAGATTGGAAAAGGCGTTCACATATTATTGATGGGATAGCTCAAGGGCTACTATATCTCCACAAGTATTCCAGGCTAAAAATTATCCACAGAGATCTCAAAACAAGCAATGTATTGTTGGACAATGATTTAAATCCCAAGATTTCTGATTTTGGAACTGCAAGAATTTTTGGAGATAATGAATCGCGTGCAAATACAAAGAAAGTTGTTGGTACATAGTAAGAACTAAGAATTCAAATTTGTTTGTTTCATCTACATAACAATGTTCCCA